GCTGGCGGGCTGGGGGGTTGGGGTCGGAGACCTCTGGGGACGCCAGAGGCACCCGAGAGGTAGATGGAACTGCGTGCAGGACACGCTTGCAGGACGGAGATGGGAGGAGGTCCCCGCCCCCCGGTACCCGCCCCCCGGTACCCATTGGACTAGGGCGCTCTAGGCCACGCCTCCTCTCCCGAAGCCCCGCCCACAGGCCGCAAACCCTGGCTCTAGATGCCGGGGGTGTCTAGAACTTAACCTGCGCTTTCCTCCCCGCCACCACATCGTTCTACCGTTTCATAGCGGGGATACTGAGGCTCTGCGCTTGGAAAGCCCTTGCTGGCTGTCACAAAGCAGAGCCTGAAATGTGCAACATCTCCTGACTTTTAAAAGCACCATATAGGGCTGAGCGTGGTGGTGCACACCTGTCATCCCAGCTCTTTGGAGGCTGAGGGAAGGGGATCACGAGTTCAAGGCCATGCAAGGTTACATAGCGAGACGCTGTCAAAAAAAAAAGAAAGAAAGAAAAGAAAAAACTGCAGGAATAAAGAGCAAGAACTCAGGCTAGATAAAACAGGATTGGAATCCAGCTTTGCCATTCCCCCGGGCAACCGTGGAGAGATTACTTAGCTTCTCCGTGACTCAGTTTCCCCATCCAGTAAGGGGGATGTTAACGGCACCTCCCAAGGCTGATGAGTTGATAAGATAATTTAAAAGAATGACGGCACTTAGTAAATGTCACGTGAGGGCTACTGTTATAACTGTCATGATGAGGATGGAATAACAGTCATAGCTCATGTCTTTGGCATACCTGCGACATAAATAAGATTTTTTATTACATCTCCCTAAGTTCTCACAACGATCCTATTATTCACATTGTTTAGAGCAGAAAATAAAAACATGTCTACTGTTAAGGCTACCACCTAAAGAAATCATGCAGCCCTCACAACCATCTTGCTGAGTTCCCACTCTCACGGTGCCCATTTCACAGATGAGGAAAACTGAAAACGGAGAGATGAAGGGACTTGCCTTGGCCAAGGTCACAAAGAGGCAGAGCTAGGGATTTGAACCCAAAGTTAGGATTCTTAACTGTTATGCTTTGCTGCCTCAACATCTGCATAAAGTCTCCTAATTATAACAAGACACACACACACACACCCTCTGCTTGCTCCCAGGGTTCTAACCAATCCTTCCTTCCCTCTCACCACTAGCTCAGCCACCCTTTTATGCAGGACTTTGTAAGCTGGGGAGCACAGAGCCCCATACTCAGTTCCTTCCTGCTCTGGGGAGCTCAGGCAAGAGGGCCTCGGCAGTTCCCTAAAATAGAGACTGCCCCCACACCCACTGGGCCAACGCGCCCTAGGCCATGCCTCCTCACCGAGGACCTTGCCCAGAGGTTCAGAGCACGGACCATGCGCACCCAGGAGGGCCTCCTTGCCAGGTAGGTGACTTTGTGACTTCTGCCTCAGTTTCCTCATCTGTCAAATGGGTTAATTTGGAAGAGTCACTGTCTCCTGAGATGGGGAAGATTCCATGAAGAAATTAGTTAGAACCTACTGTATAGTAACTGACTAATACCGGGGGTTTATTAAAATTATTATTATTAACATTCACTGTTATATATTAAATTACATAAGACAAGATCCTATAATTCAACAAAATTATAATAAAGTCACTCAACGTATCACAGTTACTAGGTGTTTCGTAAACGCTGACGTTAGTGCAATTGTATTAAGTGGCAGGTAAGTCTGTGCCACATTCCTGAGTTATGCGACTCAGCAGTGTATCGTACAATGCATAATTATATAATTACATATTTAGGTTAATATCATATGACAGTATCATTTTATAGCTCGTCCATGACAGAATACATAATTGCAATTAAGTACTATAGCACCTTAAAATTTTATATAGAATGCAAATTATTCTGCCACTGTGAATTATATCGTAAGATATTAATGGCGTTTCTGACTTCTGTCAGTCATCACTGTGTGTCTAAAACCTACCCCTGTTCCTCTGTGGACACCTGGTCAGTGGCAGTGGTGGCTTTGCGGGACCTCTTGGTGACTGACATCTTCTTTTTACCGCCTCCCCACCCCATCCCATTGTGGGGGCGGAGACCCAGGCTGCCTCCGCCTCCAGGAAAATAACATTGCAAGGAACATCTTTGAACGTGTCCCTTAGGGAGCTTAGGACACCATTTTGGATCACCTCCTTGGAGCTGATTGCTGGGTGACATACCCAGGCACCAGATTCATTTAAGTCATGCTGGGGAGCCCTGGGGGATGGCTGCACAGGCAAGTGCTCCAGGGCTCAGGTCCCCACACCTCCAACCTCCTTTTGTCATTTTCTAACTTCTAATTTTTAGCAGACTCCTGGGATGACTCACTGTCTTCTTAATTTGCACCTCTCTAATCAGTTGCCACTGGTTTCTGGCACCTTCTGAGTGTCTGTCAGAGTTTTGAGGTTCCTTGTTACCTGCTCACTATGTACCCAGGCTGGCCTCAAATTTTGATCCTGCCTTGGACATGGGCCACCACACCTGGCTTTGTCCACTTTTCTATCAGGTTGCTATCTTTTTTCTTCTTCTCCTTCTTGATTTATAGCTCTTCCTTTCACATTCTACATGTTAATTAATTTCCCTCCGATTTTAAACACTCTGTATAAGTGTCCCCCTCCTGTCATCGGATACTTATCTCATGGTATCCTCATTAAAAGAAAATCTATATTTACGTGTTATCAAGTGCATCATTTTTCTGCCTTGGGGGTTTGGTGGTTTTATTCAGAAGTCCCTCCCTCTGTGGTCATCGGTGTTCTTATTGTTAGTAATAACCAGCTCGAGGGCTCCAAGGCCAACGATTAGATACAAGTACAAAGGCCTTTTCTGATTTCCCTCCCTAGGGCTGGGCTCAGCGGGGAGCAGATGCTTCAGGAGATGGCTGAGACAGGCAGACAGACAACAGAAGAGATTCTCATGTCTTGAAAGAGAGAGATGGGATAACAGGCAGGGAGGGTGGGAGGTTCAAACTATGGGGTTTCACATGCTGGAAAAAACTAAACGGAGTGGATTCCTGGCCTGTCCTAATGTTCTGGCCTTAAAAAAAAAAAAAATGCCCATGGTGACTTCTTTCAGTGAGAAAAAGCAGTGCGGGTACACTTTTGAGAAGGCTGTTTGGTTGAACAGACTAACAGACAAGATTTGGCAGAATCATTCTGCTATGACCCCTTTCTTCCATTGTTGGGTAGAGCTCTCCAAAGTGGCACAATTTATGTTTATCAAAAACCAAATGCTCACCAGGTGCCAGTGAGTCACGTCTGTAATCCTACCTACTCAGGAGGCAGAAATCAGGAGGATTGCAGTTTGAGGCCAGCCCAGGCAAATAGCTCACAAGACCATATCTCGAAAATACCCACCACAAAATAAGGCTGTCAGAATGGTTCAAATGGTAGAGTGCCTGCCTAGCAAGCTTGAGGCCCTGAGTTCAAACCCTAGCACCTCCGCTGAAAACAAACAAACAGATGCTCAAATATTCATAGCAGGGTTTTGGATGTAGCTCAGTGGTAGACTGCTGAATCTAGCATGAAGGAGGCTTGGGCAAAAACAAGAATATTATCCCTAACAGCCCCAAATAAATAACTCAACTGTCCACCACCAGAAAATTGATCAATAAGTCATGGAACTGTCACATAGTGAGAGACTATATAGCAATAAAATGGAGGAAATCATTATTATTATTATTATTATTATTATTAATTATTCTGGGGATTGAACCCAGGACCTTGAGGCTTGCAAATGCTCTACCACTTGAACTACATCCCCCAGCCCTTTTGGGTTGTTTTGCTTTTGATATAGAATCCCCCTAATTTTTCTGGGGCTAGCCTTGAACTCTTAATCCTACTGCCTCTGCCTCCCAAGTAGCTGGGATTACAGGCATGCATCCCCATGTGTAGCTGAAAAGAAAGAAGTTATAGCCAAATAAAATAGCATGGAAGAATTACAAAGACTCAGTGTTAAATAAAAGCCAGACACGATACATGAATCCATAAACATACAGGATAAAAGGAGACAAAACTCCTCTGGTAGATGTCAGGCAGGAGGTGTTGGGAAGGGGACATGTGGTTTGTTCTGTTTTTTGATTTGAGTGTCATGTGGTTTGCTCAGTTAGTGACAATTCATCGACCTAAATAATGATGTGTGCTCTTTTTTTTTTTGTACTTCAGTTAAAAACATGTCAAGCATGACACATTTAAGTAAGAGAACAAAACATACATACTCAAAAGAAAAATCTGTTTCCATGGACACCAAGTCATATACATAAACTCACAGTAAAAGTTTGGACGAAACCTAGTAACATGTGATATTGGTCAGTCTTGCCTAAGAGGGATAGTATGTGGGGACTTCCAGAAGGTTCATCTCCCTTGTAATAGCTTTATAATAAGAAAATAGTGCATTGCGTTAATATTTTAAAAACCTTTGAAGGCTGGAGGCATGGCTCAAGCAATACAGCACCTGTCTTGCAAGCATGAAGCCCTTAGCTCAAACCCCAGTACCACCACCACCAATCCTCCCCCCAAAACAAAACAAAAAAATCTTAGAGCAGTGCTACATAAGGGTTCTTACAATAAAAGTAATAAAGTGAAATGTCTGCCAGGGTACAAATGATATCCTTCAAACTAACATAGGGAGCCAAGCTTGGTTGTGCATGCCTGTAATCCCAGCACTCAGGAGGCAAACCTTAGTACTTAAAACATATGAATAGATATTCAAAGAACTATTGGTTTTTCTTGTGTATTTTTACATAAATATTAGTCATACTTCTTTTTAACTGCTTCTATTGAAGTGTGGCAGTGCCGGTCTCAAGACTGAAAGATGGGGAGATAGAGAGTCGGCTGGGCCATGGGGGGTGGGGGCCAGCAGCACCGGAAACCTCAGCCTGCAGGGATCCCCAAGTAGGGGGAGGGGAGCCTTTGGTCTCTCTCCAGCCTCTTCCTTCCCCCTGGCCTGAAGGTGGGTGGGGAGGGGCCAGTTCCTCTTTCCTTCCCAAGCACAGTGGAGGCCCCAGCTCCCAAGCGGCTGACAAGCTGGAGCACTGGTGACAGGGAGGAGCTGAGCTGCACTCCTGCAAGGACTCCTTCTCCCCCAGGGAGCATGAACAGGAAAGACAGCAAGAGGTGAGAGGACCCTCCCCAAGGACACCACGGGCACCCCGGGCACCCTGTTGGGAAGGTTAGGGAGATACTAAGAAGCGGGGGTCTCCCTCGGATCAGGCTTAGGAAGTGTCAGATGCTTAGGGAGCACAGAGCCAGCCAGGATGGCAGCTTGCACGTGGGCTTCTGTATCTGGTGCCCTATCACCTTAGAGCTTGAGCTACCCTGTGTCCCTTCTCTGTCCTTGCTCCAGCTTCCTTAGCTGGCTGTCCGTCCTCCCTGGGGTCTTCCTGGCTCTCCATCACAGCCACTGCCCCCTGGACTGGAAACTCTAGGCTCCTGCAGGACACTGTCCCAGGAGAGGGGACATGACGTAGGGCCAGGCAGTTCCCTTGCCTCTTAAACCACTTCGGGCTATTCCAGACACCACAGGGAGAGGCCAGTTTACAGGTAAGGACCAGGTGGCTGTCTGTGCCGGAGGTTCTGGAGTGGGCTCCTGACTCCTGGGCACACTTGCACTCCTGTCCACCACGGGTGAATGGTGCAGGGTCCCCAGCCCAGGTAGCACCTCCTGCTTCTCCCAGCATGATTCTGATGAGCAAAGGGGGTGCTTTCCCAGACTATTCAGCAGTTCAGTGGTGGAATACTAAATGTTTCATTTCCTGGCTGTGTGACCTCAGGTAAGTTACTCAACCGCTCTGTGTATCTCTTTCTTCTTCTGTCAATAGAATGAGTATACACCCTATCTGAGAGGGGGGCTGTAAATCTTAAGCAAGACAGTCTAGACCACTGATTCTCAAACCTGAACATGTGTCAGCACAGCCACCCAGTGAACTTGTAAAACACAAGGCTGCTGGGCTCTTCCTAAAGTTTTATGTAGGCCTGGGGTAGGACTGGAATCTATATGTATATCAAGTTCCTAGACTATGCTGTGGGCACTGGCTAGTGACCTCACCTTGTAGTGCTTGACCCTACTACCTTGTTAGCACTCAAAAAAATGCCAGCTCTTGCTAAACAGCATTTATTACTCATCTTGAGCCCTTAAGGTGTGCTGGGCAACATGGCGGTGCCTTTGCTATGGGGTCTCCCTGTGTGTGGTTTCACCTCCATGCCACAGGCTTGGCCTCTTGTCTTCCTCATTCCCTTTTCTCTTTGTACCTCAAGTTCAGCTTTCCCACCTCTTGGTCACTTCCCAGCTGGGATAAACCAAGTCTGTTACTTTGCACCTTTGAGGAGACCAGGCACTTTGTGTCTATAACTAATTCCTAAGGAAGGTCCAAAGATGACCCTCAATTTTCACAAGAGGAAACTGAGGACCAGAGAAAGTAAGTGACTCACAAAAAGTCACACAGCCATCAGAAATTTCTCAAACCCAGTTTTATCTGACTCAGGAGCCTGAATTGTGCTTCCTCTTCCCACCATCCCTAGCTCTCTTTCTTTTCCTACCTGGAACAGGAGCCTAGAGAGGCCTAAGGCAGTGTGAGAATTATTTTTAAACTTTCCTTGAAGCTGTGGTGGCCCCAGGGACCCACATAGCTCTGAGGAGTCCTGGAGAGGCCACTGTGCACTGGTACTTCCTCTCCAGGCTCCAAACAGAGGGACCCAGGCTGAAGACTAAGACTCCATTACACATGAAGGGCCAGTGGGGAGTGGGGTCTGTCTTATTGGGGATAAGTGGAGGAGGAGGGAAAAGATGGGCTGCCAGGGGCCTACCTGACTCTCCTCCATGAGGGCCTGGTGGAGGAGGAGTCGCTGTTGGAGACCTAGGGGAGTTCTGAGTGAGACTGAAGCCTGGCCCTCCCAGGTCCTGGGGAGGACAGGAGTGACCCTAGAAGTCTTCTCCCTTGATACCTGGGAGATCAGGACAAATCCCAAGGATCCGCCAACAGGAAGTCTTCCATGATGCCTTGGGAGCAGATTGTCAAGAGGAATTTGGAGGCCATAGCTGGAGGCGGACGTTATCATGTTTCTTGGAGGGTCCTTAGTAGTCCAGGCATCTTCTCCCATGATTCCCTGGGGGATCTGGACTATTCCTGGGGGTTTCTTCCATGAGTCCACGGTAGGTCAGGAATAACTCTGGAACTTTGTCCCTAGGTAGTTGGGGTCAAGAGGAGTTCTGAGGGTCTACCCAAAGGAAGAGGTCTCATGATTTCTTGGGGCTGTGTCCACAGGAAATCCCATCAGGAATGCTATGGAAAGGCAGAGGGACGGAGTCGGCCCCGACAAGCCCGCCGTCACAAGACATGCCCCAGCCCCCAGGAAATCAGCAAGATCATGGCATCCATGAATCTGGGCATGTTGAGTGAGGATAGCTGCAATGAAGACGAGCTGCTGGAGAAGTGCATCCAGTCCTTCGGTGAGTCCCCTTCCCTTGCCAAGCACTGCTCTCTTAGCCTCAGTATTTGGGAACCTAAAATGGGCATAAAATGAGGAAAAAGGAAACACCTCCATTTGTTTTCTCCTGAGATGAGGTAGGGGAATGGGGCTGATGGTATTTGGATCTCAAAGACTAGCCAGGTGTGGTGTTGGCCCATGCCTGGTACAGATAAGGAAAGTGAGGCACAAGGTGACATGTTGCTTGCCTGAGTTCACGCAGGGCATCGCTGGTAGAGCTGACGTCAGAACCAGGCAGGCCACCCAGTTCTGGAAGCTGCAGGTTGTTGCCCAGGGATTATTCTGATGGAGCGTCCTTCTCCCGCCCCCAGACTCAGCTGGCAGCCTGCACCGTGGGGATCATGTTCTGAATATGGTGCTGGCCATGCACAGCTGGGTGCTGCCTTCCGCTGACTTTGCTGCTCGGCTGCTCACCTCATATCCTTCCCATATGTCCCACTGGGGAGGACAGGGGTGACCCTAGGGTTCCTCAACCTCGATCCCTGGGGGAAAGGTGAGGGGAGCAGATTCATGGGAGCCCAGGGGAGTGGGCAGGCTGGGATGCTGGAAAACAGCCTTGACCACAGTTCAAGTACCGGAAGGCTACAGAGGACACCCAGGAGCTGAGGCAGTTGCAGATCTGCTACCTGGTCAGGTAGGGCGGGGCCAAGACCCAGTCCCCTAACCCAAGACTACTGTCCTGCCGCCCCCAAAAAACACCTCTCGTATATTCCCAGCCCTGCTCCCCACAGACCCACCCATCTGACTCTAAGACACCCCCGCTTAGTTCCTAAGACCTTCCTAGCTCTGTTCCGTAGACCCCCACCTCTTGGAGACATCCCCCAGCCAGATTCCAGGCTCTCTCCCAGCTGGTACCCAGAGACTGCCAGCTCTGATTCTCCAAGAGCTCACCTCCCACATACTCCTAGGACCTTTTCACCCTGGTCCACACCCCCCAATCCCAACGCAGTCTGGTTGCTGTGACCCCCACTATCCTACTTCCCAACAGTCTCCTGTCCAAGAGATCCCCCATCTGTGTCACATAGAGCTCCCACCTTGTGTTAAGAGACACCCCCTAATCCTACCCAGAGATCCCCCATCTTGGCACCCCTCTAAACCCTAGACCGGCACCTATCATTTCTCAGTGTAAGACCCCTATAGTGACCTCCGACCCCACCCCAGCCTCACTCCCCATCTAAACCTTTTTCAGGTACTGGCTGACCCACCATCCAGAGGCTATGCACCAGGATCCTCAGCTAGAAGAAATTATAGGTCGTTTCTGGGCCGTGGTGGCCCAGGAGGGCAACTCAGCCCAAAGGAGTCTGGGAGATGCCTCCAACCTGTGAGCCAGCCCCATGTCCCCGTCCCTGCTCCCTACCCTGCCATCTCCCTCCAGATCTGCAGACCCTCAACTCGGAGTCACTCAATTAGCCTGCCCCTCTTGGTCCTCAGCTTGAGCCCTCGTGGCCCTGGCCCACCCCATCTAATGAGCAGCCCAGGCCTGGGCAAAAAGCGCAAGGTGTCTTTGCTTTTCGATCATCTGGAGACAGAGGAGCTAGCTCAACACCTCACTTACCTGGAGTTCCGGTCTTTCCAGGCTATCACGGTGAGGATCCCTCTTCCCATACCCCTCCCTGAGCAGGGCAGACAGGGGCAGGGGCTGCATAGGCAGCAGAAAGTCCAGGAAAATAAGTTAAGCTGGCTGACAGAGTCTCTGGGTCAAAATTCCATCAGCTCCTTCTTACCTAGGTAACTTTGAACTAGTTACTGCGGGACTCATTTGTAAGATAGAAGTCATAATACTTCATTGGATTAAAAAGTATTAAAACTGCTGTTTAAAAATGCTTACTACAGCTCACACCTGTAATCCTAGCTTCTCAGGAGGCAGAGATCAGGAGGATCGCAGTTTGAAGCCAGCGCAGGCAAACAGTTCCTATCTCAAAAAAAACCATCACAAAAAAGGACTGGTGGAGTGGCTCAAGGTGTAGGCCCTGGGTTCAAACCCCAGTACCGTTAAAAAAAAAAGAAAGCTTACTACAGTGTCTGGTATATCAGTTATTCATTTATTCAACAATCATTTCATTTACTATGCCTCAGTTTCTTCATCTATAAAAGGGGATATTAATAATTCTTGCATCAGAGGAACAGTGTCTAGCCCAGAGTAAATGCTACACGCCTAAACCATCTGAAATTGCCATAGCTAGATATGTGTTAGCCATAACCATCTGGATATCATCAATTGGAGGGAAGGGGGAAATCTGGTTCCTTTATGTTAAAAATTTCTGATTGTGTGTGTGTGTGTCTTTATGTGTTAAATGTGTAGAGAAGTGGGTATGGAGTGTTTATGTCACTGAGCAGAACAAGTAGGGTTTTTTGTTTTTTTGGGACTGGGCTTTGAACTTAGAGCTTCAATCTTGCAAAGCAGACCTCTGATCCATTTTGCTATGGTTATTTTGGAGATGGGGTCTGGAGAATTATTTGTCCGGGGTGATCTTAAACTGCAATTCTCCTGATCTCAACCTCCCAAGTAGCTAGGATAACAGGCTTAGAAGTTGGTTTTTAAGCCTTCCCCATCCTTCCCTTCCCTGACTGTGTACCAGTCCTGTGTGACACTCTGGCCCTCAAATGCCTCCTCTCTAAAAGCGGAATGACAAATTGTTATAAGTGCTCACCTCGTAGAGTTATGAAAATTAAATTAATATGAGTAAAAGTGCTAAGAATTGTACCTGACTTTATCTCAACTCCTCAAATGAGAGAGGACGATGGTGATGTCGGGGACATGTGGCAGCCTAGGAGAAACAGGCTAGGTCATCGGAAGTCATGACTACTAGGATGCTAGCCTGAGAACCACAGCCCACCCTGACTCCCACCTGGCCCCCAGTCCCAGGACCTGCGGGGCTACGTTTTGCAGGGTTCTGTGCGGGACTGCCCCGCTCTGGAAGGCTCCGTGGGTCTGAGCAACAGCGTGTCCCGCTGGGTGCAGGTCATGGTGCTGAGCCGCCCCGGGCCTGCCCAGCGCGCGCAGGTGCTAGACAAGTTCATTCGCGTGGCACAGGTAAGCCCCGCCCCGCCCCTCCCCGGCCCTCCCATCGTTTTCGGGGTGCTTACCTTGTCCCCCCGCCCCCCACGTTGCTTGATGATTGGTGTTCCAGCCCACCAAGTTTCCCAGACCTTTGGCCCAGTAGGTCAGCCCCGCGATGACGTCACGCACCACGGGCCCCGCCCATCGCATCCCACCCGGGCCCCGCCCCCAAGGCCACAGTCGGGGCGTTCTAATCCGAGACTGTAACTTCTTCCGCCCCTTTCCCGATCACCACGTCAAACCCGCCTCGGCCCCACCCCATCCCTCGGCCCTAGACGTAGCAGTTGACTTTTGGCGTCGTCTCCCAAGCCCCATGCCGCAGATTCTGTCCCCAGGGTAACACAAACATCCTTTCCATGCCCTCATCCTTGCATCATCCTGCACCGAGGTTCCTATTTCCAGTCCCTAGGCCCCCAGCGGCCTCTTTGGGACAGTGACGGCCTCCCCTCCCCACCATTATCTAGTGCCCCCGCGGCCCCGCCCCATTGCGTAGTACCCCTCGCTTCCTCCCCCTCCCTTCTGGGAAAAGGGAAGCCCTCTGGCCACGCCCCCTTGCGTATTTCCACGAAGACCACGCCTTTCCTGAGACGCCTTCCATGGCTTTGCTTCCTCTTGCTGGGCCCCTTAGACCTGGGGCTTCTGGCATCGGCCTGGGGTCTCCTTAGCCTAAGCATCTTCCGCTCCACCTTGGCCCCCTCTCTCTCCACATTGGCCTCTATTTCTTAAGCTGGGAAAAGGGGACGGTGAGGGAATCCCCCTTGATGCCCAGGTGACCCTTCTATGTCACTCTGGCCCCAGCCACCTGTACTTGGTTTCTAGCTCCCGTCCACAGCCCATGCCTTCTTGACTTCCCTCATCTGTGTGACTCATAGAAGTCTGGCCCCCAGAAGCGTGATACCCTGACATCTGAATAGTCCACACCTGTCACATCCACACCTGTCTATTCTCCAAGTCTTTTCAAGTTCTCATACTTGCTGGTCTCCCTACACGTCTAGCCTCCCATCAAATCTGTCACCTGCCAGGCACCCCACTTACTTTCACTTCTTCCATGGCCACCCTGGTCCACCTGCACATGTCTGAGATCCACCGCCCCCAGTGCTGTTATCTTAACTTCCACCTTACCTACTCCCTTCCTAGAGACTCCACCAGTTGCAGAATTTCAACACGCTGATGGCGGTCACAGGGGGCCTGTGTCATAGTGCCATCTCCAGACTCAAGGATTCCCATGCCTACCTGAGCCCTGACAGCACCAAGGTGAACCCTGATCGCCCTACCCAAAGTTCCATGTGCTCAGCTGTCCTGAACCCCGAAACTACCATCATTCCCTGCACCTGTACCACCTTGGTACCCCTCTCTACTCTCCTAGTGTCTGGTCCCAAGCAGGGCTGTGAAGGAGACAGATAGATGCTAGCAGAGAACTGGCAGTTCAGGTGGCAAATTCAGTCACCAAACATACCAACATTTGGGATGTCCAAGGGACAAATATTGGTTGAGAATGTCCTGGGAAGTGTGTGGGAAAATCGAGTCATTCATGAGTCTGTGGTATGGCTGAGGTGAGGAAGTGGCAGGAAAATAGATGTCCAGGGGAAGATCCTGTTGAGCCCTGCAAGGAGGGCTAGGGTGTTTGGGCTTTATCCAGAGAGCAATAGGGAGCTAGGGAAGATTTGGGAGTGATGACAACACCCATAAGCAGACTAGGGTTTTTGTGAAATCACTCTAGCTTGGAGAATGAGGGACAGTGGTGCCTCTGAGATGGAGACCCAAGAAGAAGTTGTCAGGAGATGATACTACAGTCAATGAGGGATATGGAGGGGCTTGGGAAGTGGCCCAAGTGCCATGTGTCCCTGGGGGTCTAGAGCCCACAGAGGAGGTGACCGGGGTATCCCCTCCAGTTGGCTGGGAGCAGAACTGCCCTCGCCCACAGCCCTTCCCACACAGGTCCTGCTGGAGCTGACCAAACTCCTCGCCTCCCGCAACAACTATGCCCACTACCGCCGCACTTGGGCTGGCTGCACCGGCTTCCGGCTGCCTGTGCTGGGTGTACACCTCAAGGACCTGGTGTCCCTGCACCAGGCACAGCCTGACAGGCTGCCTGATGGCCGCCTGCACCTGTCCAAGCTGAACGGCCTGTACCTGAGGCTGCAGGAGTTGGCGACCCTCCAGAGGCAGCACCCCCCCTGCAGTGCTAATGAAGACCTGCTGCACCTGCTCACGGTGAGCTGCCTGCCCTGTGCAGTCTGGGCTCCCAGGAGCCTGAACCTGGGGTTCTGGGATGGAGGGTCCAGGGCAGATGAGGATCTGCAAGACCAGGATGGTCTTGAACTCTCTAGCTTCTAGGGGTCTAGCTAGCTAGCTGTGTGACCTTGGCTAAGTCACTTAACCCCTCAGTTTCCTTCTCTGTAAAATGGGAATAATTACAAGAACCTCTTCAGAAGAATCAATGGATAATATTCAAGGGAAGTACTTAAAATAGAGTCAGGGGCTTGGGGATATAGTCCAGTGGTTAGAGCCAAAGCAAGGTGGAGGCTCTGAGTTCAATCCCCAGTACAGTCAAAAAAGAGAAATTAAAATAGATAGAATGGGAGCTTTATATAAGTGATGCTGGTTTTCCCCTCACTGAGCCCATTGATCTGAGTTCCTGGATTGCTCGGGGCTTCTGAACTCCTGAACCAAGGTTGACAGCTTATGTCATCAGTACAAAAACTTTCAAGTTTTGACATATCTGGAACCTAAGCAAAAAGCTAACACCAGCTGGGTGCTGGTGGCTCACGCCTGTAATCCTAGCTACTCAGGAGGCAGAGATCAGGAGGATCATGGTTCAAAGTCAGCCTGAGCAAATAGTTTTCGAGACCCTATTTCGAAAAAACCCATCACAGAAAAGGGCTGGTGGAGTGGCTTATGGTGTAGGCCCTGAGTTCAAACCCCAGTAATGAAAAAAAAAAAAAGCTAATAACGATTATTGAGCATTTGCTGTGAGCCAGATCTCTCCCCAGATCCCTTCACTTTACTACACAACCCTATGAGGTGGAGATCTTTATTGTACCCATTCCACAAATTGGAAAACTAAGGCCTAGAGAGGTGAGGTTGCTTGCCCACTGTCCCCCAGCAATAAAACCAGGACTTGAATCCAGGCAGGCAGGCCAGCTTCAGAGCTCTTTGTTAATGTCTTAACCACTATTTTTTTTTTTTGAGGTGGGGAGACTGGGATTTGAACTCAGGGCTTTGCACTTGTTAATCAGGAGCTCTACTATTTGAGTGTCACCTCCAGTCCTTTTTGTTCTGGTCAGCCTGGACTACAACCTTCCTATTTTATGCTTCCCACCATTTCTGGGATGACAGGTGCACAATACCACTCAGCTTTTTTTTTTTTTTTCTGAGATGAGGTCTCACAAATTTTTTTTGCCTAGGCTGGCCTGGAACGCAGTCCTCCCAATCTCTGCCTCCCATATAGCTTCAGATGACAGGTGTGATATTCTAAGTCCCAAAACTGAGAGGATTCTGGCTATACTTTACCTGAAGAGACTCTGAGGACCACGTAGTATAAGGCTGAAAAACTGAATTTTCAACCCCTAAGACAGGTTGTATAATGGGCAGGCCCAGTGCAAAATGAAAATGTGAGCTCATTACTCTAAAGTGTTAAAAGTTTCAAGGAAGAAGCTGGGCACTGGTGGCTCATGCCTGTAATCCTGGCTACTTAGGAGGCAGAGATCAGGAGGATCGAGGTTTGAAGCCAACCCTGGCAAATATTTCATGAAACCCTATCTCGAAAACAACCCTTCACAAAAAGGGACTGGTGGAGTGGCTCAAGTGGTATTGCCTGCCTAGCAATCACAAGGCCCTTGATATGAATTCAAATCCCATACCACCCCAAAAAAAGTGTCAAGGCAGAGTGTTTACTTAGCATGCACCAGTTCATGGGTTCAAACTCTAGTACTGAAACAAAATTGAAGAAGGTGACGGCAGGGGACTAAGTGAAGCAGATGCCCCTGCCACCGCATGGTTCTCCCTGCCCTGAGATGATAGGTTTGAGTGACACTTGAGATTGAACTCAGCACCTCACACTTGTGCTCTATCACCGAGCCATGCCCACAGCTCTTTTTGCGTTATTTAATTCTCAGATAGGGTCTCTTGCTTTTGCCTGGATTGGCCTTGGACTTTGATCCTCCTACCTCTACCTCCTAAGCAACTGGGATTACAAGCGTGTGCTCCCACACCCAGACTGTGGGTCCTTTTCTTTCCTGATTCTCAAAGACCATCAGTTGAAATATTTTCTGAGTACCTTCTATGAACCAGCCCCTACTCCAGGCACTGGGGACAGGGCAGTAAGTAAGTTAGAAAAAAAATTGCTCTTCTGTGGGGCTGACATTCTCATGGAGGAGACAGCTAATTCAAATCAAGCAACTAAGTCTCATCACTTCTAGTACTATAAAGAAAAATAAGGCAGAAAAGAGTATGTAGAAAAAAAAAAGAGTATGGAGAGACCCTGGATTGTGATTTTAAATAGTGACATCAAAAGGCCTTAGTGGGTCTGGGTATGGTGGTCATGTCTGTAATCCCAGCTCTCAGAAGGCTGAGGCAGGAGGATCAAGAATTTGAGGCCAGGCTGATCAAGAAAAAAAAAAAAAGACCTCAGTTGGAACAAGGCATTTGTGGACTGGGGATTGGGCCAATGTGGAGTGTGACAGGTGTGGTGTGATGGAAGGTCTGAGGGTCTCTGAAGAAGAGGAGTTCAGGAAGGGACTAGGGAGTGGGGGTCAGGGCTGTGGTAGCAGGATGGTGTCAAGGGGGGTCTGTAATGCCCTGCCCACCCCCCAGCTCTCCCTGGATCTCTTCTACACGGAGGAGGAGATCTACGAGCTTTCTTATGCCCGAGAGCCCCGCTGTCCCAAGATTCTGGTGAGATGTGACCTCTGACCCCTGAGGAATATCTGGCGGCCTCCAGCTCAAGCCTCTGCTCTGACTAACTGTGCCCCTCTGTCCCCCTTCAGCCGCCATCACCCTTCAAAACGCCTCTGGTGGTGGAGTGGGCCCCTGGGGTGACACCCAAGCCAGACCAGGTCACCCTGGGTCGGCATGTGAAACAGCTGGTGGAGGTGAGGAGGGACGGGGCCCCGCAGAGAAGTGCCAGAAGGGAAGACATCTGTCTAGCCCTGAAGTGTCCAGGACTGTGGGACTGGATCTCAACCCCTGGTCTCCCCCTATCCTCCCTGTGCCTCTGAAGTCCGTGTTCAAGAATTACGACCCCGAAGGCCGTGGCACCATCTCTCAGGAGGACTTTGAGCGACTCTCAGGCAACTTCCCCTTTGCCTGCCACGGGCTCCACCCACCTCCCCGCCAGGGGTGAGTGGCCCTGACTCCCTAGGTCCCTGGAGATGAGGCTCCTGGGGATGCCAGGTCTCATAGTCTGAGGGAGGGAGGACCAGTCATGCTGAGCTGCGTCTCTGTCCCCAGGAGTGGCTCCTTCAGCAGAGACGAGCTGACAGAGTACCTGCTTCACGCTTGTGCCATCTGCTCCAAGCTGGGCCTGGCCTTCCTGCACTCCTTCCATGAGGTCACCTTCCGCAAGCCCACCTTCTGTGACAGCTGCAGTGGCTTTGTGAGCACCTCTGCCCTGTTAGCGCCACTCAATCCATCTCCTTGGAGTGTCCCAGTCCTTACAGTGGAGCTAAGAGAGTCAGGCCTGCCTGGAGGGTGGATTGAAGCACCCAGATAGTCCCCAAATTCTAGGACACCCCCCAGCCTCACCTTTCATATAAACGCTGACCATTCTGAATAATTCCAAATTTCAGATAATGTTCAAATCCCAGGTAACCCCAACCCTAGATTGTCTTTACCCTGGATAAACTACGGGTCACATCTTAAGACCTTGGGTAACCTGTGAACCTGGGAAGATTGTTTTCAAGCAGAATCAATCTCTGATCTCAAGTTCACACCACCCCAGCCTGCATCATTTCCAAATTTAAGTCATCCTTGAACCCGGATAGTGGACAAACCTCTCCATCTCCAAATCTAAACTAATTCACAAACTGTGGCTCACTCCCCACATTCATTTATTCACTACTAAGTCTGCATGTCCACGAGTCAGGCAGTTCTAGGCCCTGGTGACACCACAGAACACTCAATGTAGTCCCTGTCCTGAGAAGGTACATTTTGTTAACTCTGAAGTTTACCTAACTCTAATCTGCACCATTCCCCAAGCTTGAGGTAATCTCTGAACTCCTTTAATTTCAGTTAAAATTTTGAATTCTTGAGGATTTTTGAATACCACCCCCCCCTCCCTAGCCCTTCCTCTTCGACCCTGGCTAACCAATTCTGTTTTCTCTTCCCAGCTCTGGGGTGTCACCAAGCAAGGCTACCGCTGCCAAGGTGAGTGGGGTGCCCTTGAGTGGGAGGGATACTGGGACCTGCAGCCTGGAAGAACGAGGCCATTAACTGCTCCCTTCCTACAGACTGTGGTCTGTGTTGTCACAGACACTGCAGGGACCAAGTGAAAGTGGAGTGTAAGAAGAGGCCAGGGGTCAAGGGCAATGTGGGCCCCCCAGGAGCCCTTGTCCCAGCCACACCAGCTCCTCGTGCCAGCTACGGTAAGACCCAAAACCTAGCAGGTCTGGGAAGGATGTCTGTTGGACAAGGATTCTTTCTTTTTGGTGGTGCTGGGGTTTGAACTCACAGCCTTGCACTTGCTAGACAGGCACTCTATCATTTGAGCCTTGCCCCCAGCCCTTTTTGCTTTGCTTGTTTTTGAGACAGGGTCTTGTGTTTCTGTCAGGGTCAGCCTATTTATGCTTCACATATAGCTGGAATGACAGGCACATGCCACCACACCCAGCTATTGGTTGAGGTAGGGTCTTGTGAACTATTTGCCTGAGCAGGCCTCAAACCATGATCTTCCAGATCTCTGCCTCCTGAGTAGCTGGGATTACAGGCGTGAGCTACTGTGCCTGATGTATGGGAATTATTTCTACGGTCATGGAGCTCATCCCATCACATACACTGTCCCTTCCACCCATTACCCCTCACACAGGCTCCAAGGAAAATCTCTCCTACACACTGTCCCTGGACCCTGAGGCTGGGTGCTACCTTCGCCATGCTTGGACACAGACAGAGTCCTCACATTCTTCCTGGGAACCAGAGATGGTGAGGAGGAACCCCCAGCAACATACAGGGGTTTCAGGCCATTTGCCTGATGGAAACCAGACAGATTTGGGAATCACAGGAAAGTACAAAACATGCAAGAGTTCTTGCTTGAGTGGGAGGGTGTAAACTCTGGCTAATTTTTAATGTTGACAGCAAAATAGATGTTGAGTAGGGAGAAGTAACCACTAGAACAGAAAAAAAGGAATTAAGGAGAAAACAATTAAGAAGGCAAGAATAAGCCTCATATATCTGGAGCTACAATAAATGTCAGTGGAGTAAATTCTACCTTCAAAAGGCAGAGACTCTCAGAAGCCCACAGAGGATATCAATTGATCCATTTAGCCACAGTCTGGGTGAGGCACTGTAACTCACTGCAAACTGTTTCCTGGATATCTTATATTCTTCTTGTTACCTGTCTTCCTTCTTCCAGGTCCCATCGTCCACCGCGTCCTCCAAGCTAGAGTCCTAGAAATCATCCTGGGCTCTCCTCTTCCTCTCTCCTCCCCTAACTCCCCAAAGGCACTGCCTCCTCCCCACTCACACTGCCTTTGATGAAGAGTCCATCATCTGTTACCCAAAAAAGGTTCTTTTCTTTGTTTGCGTTTCACTGGCTGTTAATTTCAGTCCTTTGTGCACTTAGCATCTGTGCAGCTCAGTGTTGGATGCACTTGGAGTTAGGCATTGTGTTATCAACTCCATAACCTCCTCTTCATAGAGAAGGAGATGGAGGTTTGGTGAAGTTAAGCCGCCTATCCAAGGTGTGAGAGGACCCTGGTCCTCTAACATTGAAACTCTGGACCATTATGCCACATTGGTGGTTGGTATAGGTCAGGAATGGAAAAGATGGATGGAGGGCCAGGGCTCCAACCACTGGGGTTGCACGTAGGTGAGAAGGCTGGGATGGGGAGCCTGTGAACACGAGTCAGGTCATGCCCCTTCTTTGCTCACAGCCCTCCCATAGTTCCTCTCCCTCAGAGTAAAAGTCAGATCTCATGTGGTTCACAAAGCCCCACACAATCCTTGCTTATCCTCTCTCTGACCTGTCCTCCCACCTCTCATCCCCTCACTAATCCTACTCCAGTTACACTGGCCTCCATCTTCCTTAAATATGCTCCAAAAAATCCTACCTCAGGGCCTTTGCACTGGCTGTTTCCTTTGTCTGGCCCACATGCTCTCTTTGGGATTTTGTTGGTGACCTCAGAGATGTGACCCCTGCCCCAGTTCTGGCATTCTTGCTCTTTCTCCATAGGGTTGTTATCATCTGAAAAAACACACATCCTATCCTTTTAACTGTGGTGCCCTCAGTGTTTAGAACAGGGCTGGCACCAGGTGGGCACCTGCTACATGTTTGTCCTGTGCCTGAATGTGTCCTTCCCCACAACCACAGAAAAGTGCCAAAGAGCAAAGGAACTTGTGGGTCAGAACGGCAGGGGCCTAACCCGGGGACAGAAACCCCTACTCCTCCACAAACACACACACACACACACACACACACACACACACACACACACACACACACACACAATCTGGCCCCACAGAGCCAGGCCCAACAGCTGTCAAAAATTAAATTTATTTTCCAGAGAACAGGTCTTGGTGTTGAGTGGTATGTATACATGGGCTATTTGGGGACTCTGGCAGAGGGGATGGGGGCCTGTGTGCAAAGGCTGTCAAACCAATTCCCCAAGGATTACTGATGGTACCAGCTGGACTCCCCCACCCCGCCCAGATCCCTTTTACTTCTTTTTCTTCTTCTTGTGGCCCCAGCGCTGGTGGCCTGCCTTCCACCTTCCTCCATCTTCTCTTCGGCTCTGCCAACTGGGCATGGGAGGCTCCAGCTCATTTGGGCGGCCGCCTCGGTCTGGCACGTTGCCCATAAGCACCTGAGAGTTGATTAGACTTGAGTTTCAGAAGAAGAAAAAACAAATCTTGGATATAATGGGGCCAGAGAGCAAAGGGAATAGCATGAGGTTGAAGAAGGAAGAGCAGCTGTTGAATGTGTAGAGAGGTAAGAAGCTAGATACTACAGAGGGTATTTAGTTAAACAACAACAACAAAAAACGTGGCTTACAATCAATATAGTAATGTGAGATGGTGGGGAAGGAGTTTGAAACAAACTGACCCGGGGACAGAAACCCCTACTCCTCCACAACGGTGGAGACCGTGGACAATGGCTCAATAAACAGCTGGACTCTGTTTTCAAAGCACTGAGGAGCCATAGAAGCATTTTTTTTTTTTTGTGATACTGGAATCTGAACTCAGGGCTTCACACTTGCTGGCACTCTGCCAGCCTTATGGTCAGATGTTTTGATACAAAAGATGAGACGTGGTGAGGCCAGAAGCTGGGAACCCAGCAGGGAGCTGGGAACCCACGTGCAAATCAGAGGAAAGGTTGAAAGGCCAATTTGAAGGCCAAGAATGGCAGGGCCCTTCCCCATCCCAGATACTCACCTTGTTGATGGCACATCTGGTCCCTCGGCGGACAGCCACACTGGTGGCTGGGACCAGACGAGAAAGGTCAGCTCGGGCGGCCAGAACATGTGCGATGGAGACGTCTGAGTTCGAAGTCAGAACCTCTCGAATTGGGAAAAGCACTGCCCTCATGGACTCTCCTTGGGTCTGGAGTGGGAGGCACAGGGAGAAGGTGCCCAAGAGCCCTCCCCAAGTGGGATCCATCATCTCAGCAGCGTATCTTCCCCACTCTGGACCCCTGAATGCTTTGGATGTAGTTTATCCCCAAAGGTGCATGTGTTGGATGCTTAGTCCTTTAAGAGGTGGAGCCTAAGAGGTAATTAGATCATAGGGATACTGCCCTTGGAAGAGACTAATGTAAGTCTATTGGGAGTGGGGTAGACCTCATTGGACTGGACTGGTTACCAAGAGAGCCAGCTGTTATAAAGAGAGCCACCCCACCTGTTTGTCCTCTTCTGCATGTGCCTATTGGCCACTCCTAATATGTACCATGCCAACCACCAAGTTATGACACAGCATGGGGCCCTTCTAGGTTTGAATTTTCCAGTCTCTAACATCATAAATCAAAATAAACCTCTTCTCCTTACAAAGTACCCAGTCTCAGGTATTTTGACATGGCATCACACAACAGATTAGGATAGCATCACTGCCCACATCGCAACACAGGGATATAGTTCTGAAGACACAGCTCAGAGCTAGGAATTCCAGAATGCCCTGGAGGCCCTGAAATTCTAAAAGCCCCAAACTTTACAAGATTCTAATGTGGCATGGGCCTCAGAACTTTCAAGATCCTTTGCCCACACCTCTGCTCGATCGCTCCAGTGGAACGCAGATGTGGTAAGGTCAAGGCGCTTGAGGAGGAGACAACGACGGCAGCAGTACTGTTCTCTCAGGCTCTGGGACAGGGACTGCAGCACTTCCTGGGAGAAAAGGTGTCAGTCAAGCCAGGGGTGTCTCTCACAGCCATCCCTGGATTCACAGGTAGCCATACACACTCTTACCCACTGCCTTGTATCCAATGGGTAGCTGAGGAGGGGCTGCATGAAGTCTGGGGGCAGGGAAGGCAGCAGCTCTGATATCTGATGGGAAAAATCAGAGGCCAACTGAGGCAGAGACAGGATGGACCCCTGACTCTGACACAGGCCATAGAAGCAAGAATGCAGGTCACAGCTCTAAAAAAACATCCTTATGATTGGGGAGCTCCTGTTAGAGCTGCTTTTGGATAGCAGATCCAGCAATGTGGGGTGGCCTGGGTGGGGAGGGCACTCTGGTTCTCTACCTTGGTATGTAACTCCTGCAGTAACTGGCTGGCAGGAGTCCCTGGAGCAGGTGTAGGCAGTCCCAGGGCTTGGAGTGTGAGCACCAGTTCCTGGACCATGCCAGTTTCCTCCTCTGCCCCTTCCTTAAGGGGCAGAACATGTCTGGTATCTAGATGGGGCTTCAGACACAAGAGACGGGTAGCCTGAAGCTCAGAGCAAAGAAAGCCTAAAAATAGGAAAAGGGATCTGTGCAGATGTAATGGAGGCGGGCTACCACCCCTCCACCTTTTAGTCCTGCCCACCAAGAACCTTGGTGGTTCACTGCCTGTAATCCAAGATAGTCTGGAGGCAGAGTTCGGGAGGACTGTGGTTTGAAGCTAACCCCAGGCAAATAGTTTGTGAGACCCTACCTCCAAAAAAAAAAAATAATAACAAAAAAGGGCTAGTGGAGTTCCTCAAGCAGTAAGCACCTACCTACCAAGCGTGAGGTTCTGGGTTCAAACCCCAGTACCACCAAAAAAAAAAAAAAAAAAGAAACCTTGGCTCTGCCTCCAGAATAAACCCTCGCCCTCTAGACACCCAGTCTGCACCTCGGAATTTGACTCCCGCCCACCTCCGAACTCACTCAATCCATTTGAGTCTTTTATCATAACAGCAACCTCACTCATCTCAGCGCCTCAGGCCCGCCCCAATTCTGGCCCCGCCCACCCCAGCCATGTGACCACGCCCCTGACATTGACCACGCCCCCTTAGGAGCCCGGCCCTCCCTCAATATTCCGGTTCCGTCCTCTCTGGAAGCCTTAGTCTCGCCCACTTCCGCATCCCGGGGCCTTGGGAGCTCACGCAGCAGGCGCAGGCCGGCGCCGGGTTCCCGCAGCGCGGCCGCGTGGCTTCCGCCGCAGAGCGCGCGATCCGGGCAGTGCAACGCCTGCAGCAGGTCGGCCGACTGTCGCAGGAACTCCTCCTCCGCGCCGGGGCCTGCAGGAGGCGGGAGACGTCAGGGTGCGGGGCCCGCAGTGCAGCCCCGGCTCCACCCTCCATCCCTCCCGCCCCCCACGCACCGTCGCGGGCGCTCAGCACCGCGGCGCCCTCCTCTCGCTGCTCCAGGGCGCCCAGAATCGCCAGCTCGGCCGCCAGCCGCGCGCACAGCGCCCTGAAGTCCGGGCACCAGGGGCCCCGCGACGCCGCCTCCGCGAAGGCTCCATATCTGCGGCGGGACGTGGGTCAGTGCGAATACCTCTCCGTCCGCGTCCTGGGGCGAGCCCGCCCTTCCTGCGCCCCCGGTCACGCCGCACAGCCCCTTACCCTAGAGCTAGCAGGTCCCGGGACACGGTGGCCCCCTCTCGCGCCTCCACTTCTCCCCTCTCCATGGAAGTGTTGCCTGGGGGCTGACGCGCGCCCCCTCTAGGCCGTAGGCAGGCTCCGCCCTAGGAGCGCCGGGCGCACTGGGCTTGGGGTAGCGGCTCCGCCAATCACCTCTTCGCTCGAAGGGGTTTCTGCGTTCCAATTGGCGCGACAGCAGACGGGGCCCGCCCCCGGCTCCGCCCACGCCGCCCTTCAGGTAATCTGTCCTGGGCTGTAAATTTTCAGCCTGCTTGCTGGATCCTGACTGTTACGAAAGGCTTAGCAGGTGTAGCTATTGTGGCGACATAAAAGCAACTTTGTTTTGCTTTTGCACAGTCTCCCTCAGTTTCTCTCTGCTTTTTTTTTTTTTTTTTTGCCGTACTGGGTTTTGAACTCAGGGCGTACAGCTTAAGTCATTCCACCAGCCCTTTTTGTGTTGGACTTTTTCGAGATAAGGTCTTGCGGAACTATTTGCCCAGGTTGGCTTTGAACCGAATTCCTCCTGATCTCTGCCTCCTGAGTAGCTGGGATTACAGGCGTGAGCCACCAGAGCCGTTTCGCTCTGCTTTTTAATGCTCCCGAGACAGAGTTCTTCCAACTCTGTCCCAAACCTAGAAACTTTCTTCCTGCTTTTCCACCTTACTGCTGGAATTGTTTCGGGGACCCAAGAATCTCGGCTCACCCCTCACACCCACTGCCCCACTAGAGCTAGGCCCTCCTCTTCAATCACAATGTGCCCCTTCACCTCTCTGCTTCCCTAGGCTTTGGAGCGAGGGAGCAGGTGCAAAACACAAATAAAAGATTGCATCCTAAGAGCCAGGTAGACAGGGTTGAAGTTTGACACTACTACTTCTGAGCTGTGATCCTGCACAAGTATTTTCCATCTGCACGATGGAGTAATGCTACGTACTCTTTTTTTTCCTATTTCATTTTTTTTTGAGACAGGGTCTCCCTATGTAGCAGGCTGGCCTACCACAATAATCCTGCATCAGCCTCCCCAGCGTTGGGATTACAGGCATATGCCACCACACCCTACCCTGTTAAGCATTTTTTACATAAGAACTAATTAATCCTCACAAATGACTTTGACAGTGGGTACTATTAAGGCTGGGTATGGTGGTACACATCTGTAATCCCAGCTGCTTGAGAGGCGAAGATAGGAGGATGGGCGTCCGAGGCTAGCTAGCCTTGGCAAAATTGCAAGACCCAATCTGAAAAATGAATTCATAACAAAAGGACTGGGCATAGCTCAATAGTGGCAAGTCCCTGAACAGACACATGTGGCTTAACTGACAGGCACTCAAGACTAATAACACATGTACTGAGCATTTAGCGTGTGCTGCTGGGCTAGATATCTTATCCCTGTTTTATAGAGAAGATTCAGAAAGGGCAAGTCAGAGTGAATGCACAGTGGTGCTTGGGCTCTAATTTCAATTTCCAGGCTTTTTAACCCCTCAACCTATTTCTGTTCTCGCTGCCTTTTTCATTGCTGTAACTAAAAATCACTGTTCCCTTTCTAATCTCTTCCTGGCTATCCTCATCCCACTGGAGTAGGGTGGTCTGCAAGTTTCAGAAGAGAACAAGGGCCTCAACTTACTAGGGCCAGGACCTGGTCTTGAGCTGGTTACCTCCATAGCCCTTTCTACCCCAAGGCATGACCTAAATAAAGCATTAAAAATTACTGAGTCAAAAAACTTGGGTTTATAACTTTGACTCCTCTCTTTTCTTTTCCCTTCCTTCCTCCCTCCTCCCTTCCTTCCCTTTCTCTCTCTCTCTCTCTCTCTTTCCTTTCTTTCTTTCCCTCCCTCCACTCCCTCCCTCTCCTCCTCTTATTTTGTGCTGGGGATTGAGCCCAAGGATCTCACACAGGCTAAGCTCTCCTACTGAGCTACACCCCCAGCCTTGATTCCTCATTATTTCAAATGCCATTTATATCAGACCCTATCTTCAAAATAGATCCAGTGTCCTCCCACTTCTCCCCACTCCCCTCGCCTTGGTCCTATCCCCCGTGATCCCCTCTGGACATCACAGCAGCCTCCTTACTGTCAGCCTGCCCTTCCCCCAGGTGTGTTACCCGCACCCAGGGAGCCTGTGGACACCTGTGTCAGGTCCCCACCCTTCCATGCTTGGACTGTTGGACTGGGGTGTGGCTCAAGTGGTAGAGCACGTAACACCCAATATTGCTCACAAACCAGAGCTCACACAATGGCTCAGAAGGCCCCACAGATGGGTCATGCCTTTCTCTGCCCTCCTCTCCTAGGACTTTCCTTGGTTCTTTCCCTCCAGGTGCTCTCCCTCTCTTGAGGTTCATACTCTCACTTCAGTGGCTTGCATTACCTTTACTTGGCATGCCCTTCCCTGCACACATCTGGGGACCTTCTCACCTCCTTCATGACTTTGTTCAAATGCACTAAGTAACTTGTTAGTTCCCCCAGTATGAAGCTATAGGTCCTATGGGGAGGGACTTTTGCCTGTTTGTTTTTTTGTGATGGTGGTATTGGGGTTTGAACTCAGGACCTCTACCACTTGAGCCATGCCCCCAGCTCTTTTTGCTTTATTTATTTTTCAGATAGGGTCTCACACTCTGCCCTCCCCCAACCCCGGGGCCTTAGATGGTGATCCTCCTCCCTATTTCTCCCTTGTAGCCGGAATCACAGACCCATGCCATCAGATCAAGGTTGTTTAGATGGAGTCACTTTTTGCTGTGGCTGGCCTCAAACCAAGATCCTCCCCATCGCCTGATTAGCTGGGGTTAGAGCAGTACACCACTACACTGGATCCTGTTTGTTGTTTTATCTCTAGCATCTACTATAGAGTTTAGCGTGTATGAGGTACTCAATGAATGTACTTGTTGAGTGACTGAATATAAAACTCAGCTGGATGGGCAGTGTGACACTGAAGGATATGGAGGGAAAAGAGATTGGGGTAGATGATTCTTCTGCCAGTTCAGGAACATGAGTGGACCGGTGCATTAATACAAATAGAGGACACAGGCTGAGACTTTATCACAGACATTTCTTCGAGCGGATCTCAAGTCCCCCCACCCCCAAGACAAGGCTGGGTTTTTGGCCCCATCCTTCCCACCACTTCAGCCTGCACGGATGCTAACAATATTGAGGTCACAGACTGGCTTGGAATCAAGATCAGGAAGATAAATGTTGGGGTGCCTTCCCCAACATTGACCCCAAAGTCCAGGGCCAAGCATCCAATCTGAGGGGCAAGCAGCTGGGAAATTGGGCCTGGGGGCTCCAGGGTGTGAGGTCTTCCTGGCTCCCAGGGCAGCCCTCCACACACCCCTGAATGGGGGTGGTGAAGGGCAATCATGGATCAGAGGTGGATATCAGCAGGAAGCAGGGCCGGAGACCTGGGAGAGGCAGTGCTGGGAGGTGGGGGCCGGGGAAGTGACCCCCACATCTTCATCACAAGATCACACAGCACCGTTCAGCACTCTGGTCCCCTGTCCCACCCCTCCCCAAAACGAGGTAGGTTAAGAATGGAGCTTCCCCCCGCCCACCACGGAAGGGGGGAGACCGAGGCACAGAGAGGGGGATGGGGATCCAGGCTACCCCAGCCCCCAGTCCCTCCGCCCTCAGCTCTGGTGGGTGACAGTTATGAGAGCTGGGCAGAGTGGGGATGGGAGGGACACCCCCTTTTTTTCTTACCCATCCCAGGGTCTGGTTGGGAGAGCTGAGTCTCACAGGTTCCGGATGCAATAAATAGTTAATAATTTAAAGGAAGTGACAAAAGGATCTATCCCTCTGCGCCGCCCCCCCAAGCCATCCAAATCTGGGTAATGAAGAAAGGTGAGTACAAATCTCAATACTTGGGGCCAGAGCCAGGTCCCAAGCCCATGAAACATTGGGGCTGTCTTGCTCCAAGACCTTGGTTCCTCCATACAGGACACCAGATCTTTGATACACCAGATGCCCACTCCACTCAAGGCTAAGAGACTGTGGCATTCCCTTCCTCAGAGGACAGGCCTGGAGAAGAGCCACGAAACTGGCTTTCAAGCATTTCAACTCTGGCATGAAAGAGGAGGAACAGACTTAGCCAAGGGCTAGGGCTCAGGGTTAGGTTTGTAGGATGTGCAAGGCTGGGGATGATGAGGGTCTAGACAATGATAGCTAGAGCCAAAGTTACCTTTGTGCAAATTACAAAAGGGCAGGCCTTCCTCTGATGACCCATCTTGGACAACAGAGGTCTGAGTTCCACTACAGCTATATGGTTTGCGTAGTAGACAGCTCCCACAATCCTCTGTGACAATACCAGACCCTCAATTTGGGAACGGAGAGCTCCTGTAATCCGGGAATCTAAGTTCAAAACAGCAGAAATTTCCCCTAGGATAAAGGGTAATTCTGAGGATTTCTGGGGGGTGGGGGAACTTGGGCTGGGGTCCTGGGGACCTGAACTCCAGAGTCAGGGGCCTTGGGGTTTCATGGGCCTATAGATGGCGTGATTCAAGGGGGCAACAGTGCTGAGGGTGCACAAGCAGAGCCCAAAGAATCAGGTAGTGGCATTTCAGGACTTGTTGGGCTGGTAGAGTTTGAGTTCAAAGAAATGTGAAGTCTGAGGATGCTAGGGCCCTGGGACATCTCAGATCTAAATGTCTCCGAGATGAAGGTCCGGACAAGGTCTTGGATTAGGAGCAATTCCAGTGTTGTAGAGTCTGAGTCCTGCATCTGGGGCTCAATGGCACTGTGAAATCTTGAATTCAGTGCTCTAAAGCATTGTGGCATCACTCAGGAGCTGTGGGTCAAGGAATCAGAGGCCTGGATTACCATGACCATCCCACCTTCTGGGAGCTAGACCCCCACCCAGCCTTTAGAGGATTAGGGAGCTGAGAGTAGAAGGAAGCCAAAGACTGTGGGACATTTTGGGTCTCAAAATCCAGGTCCAAGGGGAACTAGAAGAGGATTTTTTGAGGACTTGAGACCAGTATCATGGGCCCTAAGGTGCTGGTGGCCTTAGTCACCTGAGGGTACTGGGCACCTCGAAGTCCATGTATGACATACACAGCACCCAAGAATGCTGGCTTGGTTGGGTCTACTGATGTCTTTGATCCCTGGCTCCCAGAGCATCTTGGTGTCTGGCATCTGCAGTTTACAGAGCTTTGTATGGGCCTCGAAAATCATTTTGGTCAGAGAACCTCATGTTTAAGCTTCTCCAGGGACTCAGTACATTTTAAGTCTGCAGTCCTAGAGCATCTGGGATCACCTGGATACCTTAGACCTCAGTATCCCATATCAAAAGGCCAGGTCTGTGAACGCTCAGGAGTAGGTAAACTTGGGACCAATATCTGGAAATTCCAGACGGCATCAAAGTTCAAACCCAGGCGGATTTAGCATCTCAAGCGTCCTGGGGCTCTTGTAAGAGCATCTCATATGTGGGTACACCAGGTCTCAATGAACATTCGGGGACCACTTTGTGGGGGGATGGATTCTAGGCCCTCATCTCATTATCTGGGAGTAATTGGCTACAGGTAAGGTCAGGATTGGCAACTCCTGATTAATCCTGGGGCTGTAATTAGAGGGTTCATGGTGCCAGGTGTGACCCGGGTCTGGACGTTCATTTGGAAGGGATTCAGGGTTCAAAGTCCCCGTGGAGCTCTCCTCTGCCCTCTGAGATGCAATTTGGAGCTGTCAGGAGGTTCCTCAGAGGGGTAGAGGGATGGAGAACCCAGAGCTGAGGAGGCCTGGGCTCTCTTGACAGAAATGTCAATGAAGCTGGGTCTGGGGACCCTCAGTCCTACGTTTAGGGTCCAGATTCCAGGTCTGGGATCTCTCAGTCCAAACTCAAGCTCCAACCTTCGAATGTGCCTAGGTTTGGGTTTTAGATTCAAATAGAGTCCGGGGTCTTGGACCTTCAATTTTGGGTCCTCGGTCCGGCTTCGGGACCCGCCAGGCCGTCCTCACCGCGCGGCCTCCTCGTGGCGACCCCCGCAGCCAGCACAGCCACATCGCGCTGCGACCCAGTGGCAGGCGCGCAGGGGCGCGTAGCAGCAGAGGCAGGGCACGGCCAGGGACAGCGCGGCCAGCGCGGCCCAGCGCGCGGCGGGGCGCGGATGGCCCGGCTCGCAGGCGCATGGGTCCGAGAAGTCGCCCTCGGCGTCCGACAGGCAGTGGTAGAGCAAGCTCTCGGCGCACCACAGGCAGCTGAGACGGCGCACCAGCAAGCGACCCGGGTCCGGGGCCTCCGCGCAGCGGCCACCACGCCCGTCCGCACGGCGACGGAAAAGCGCTCGGCAGTGCACGCAGCGCGCTGCCTCCTCAGCCTCCGGGGAGGCCTTGGCCGGCGCGGGGCTAGGTCCGGGACCCGGGGGTGGGCGAGCCGGGGGCGCTGGAGGCGCAGCCTCGGTGAGAGGGGCAGGTAGTGACACTGGGGGACCCTGAGCTGCGCCCCTCAACGTGCCAGTCTTGGCGAAGCGTACGACGCAGGTGGACAGGGCGAGGGGTGCGGGCGGCCCGGAGCGCCGGTAATCCTCGTAGCCGCGGCCGCCCCAGCCCGGGCCACCTACCCCGGGCACGGGTTCTGAGGGCTCCGGAATTCCCGTGACCGGTAGAAGCGGAGGATAGCTCTATAGGACCAAGGGACAAGGAGATCAGGTTAGCCAGGTCCGTGACTTTCCACCCGCAGTCTATCTCAGTCTCAAAAGACCCAAGAATCCCACAGATTCTGCTACAGGCTTCTATCACCCAAGGATTCTGTCCCCTAAAACCGTCCTGGGTTCGGAATTCAGACTTCCCAGCGTGCTCCTCTCCCGAGTCTGTCACCCCCTCCTTTCCCAGAGACCGACAGGAATCCAGACATTAAACCCACACCTTAAGGATCTAGTGGCTCAAGGCTCCCATCCTGTGACTCTCAAGATCCAGGAGTCCCAGCCCCTGGCCTCTCTACCTTCAGATCCAGGAATTCCGGACCCCGGCCACCTCCACCTTCAGGATGAAGGATTCTTGGTACTCCCCTTGGAGTACCCCACACTCATAGGTGAATTCAGCAGTTTTAAGGAGCCCTTCCGAGTAACAGCATCCTCTAATATACTCGTAAAATTGTCCACCTCTCCCCGCAAGCCCCTCTGGAGTTTGGAACTCCCCCAAGTCTCCACTACTGCGGGAGACAACCCTGGGAGAAACCCAGGCCTCTTTCTATCTCCCCTACCCCCAGCTCAGCAGTCAGGTCAGCCATTCTCTGGGACCTGCGTGTCGTTTCTCAGCCCCCTAGGACCTCAGCTCCGGTCCCCTTAGGGACCCCAGCGCCCGATCCCATGCCACCCCAACTATCGCTAGCGGCAGATCGCACCTGAGCCGAGGAGCGGCGGCGCTGGGGGGGCGTGGCCGGCCCGAAGGCAGAGGCTGACTCCACTGTCACGATGGGGCCCGCTGCGGCGGTGGGAGGTGTCTCCTGGCGGCTGTGACTGGAGGAGGAGTCGCTGTCTGCGTGGGACTGGGGGAGATGGGCGGCCTCAGTGCGGGGAGTACCCCGCATAGCCGATGCCCTCACATAGATTCCTTCCCATTGAGAGCAAGGGCTCTGGGGCCCTCTAAAGCGAGGTCTGTGACTCACCCACCCCCACCGCAATCTATCCCAGTCTCAAAAGACCCAAGAACCTGGATTCAAGCCCCAGCTCCGCCACTAACTAGCTGTATGACCCCCTGTGAGTGAGCTCACCTCTGAGCCTCAGTTTCCTCCTCTGTAAAATGGGAGTCAACATAGAAACTATTCCTAAGGATGTGGTTAGGACCCACTGTCAAGGGCACATCATATGCCTGTGGTAAGGGAAAAGCTGGGTTCGCCCACCGCTACCCCAAGCTGGTGATGGAACCCCGGATTTTGCACATACTAGGCAAGTCCCCTGCTACAGGTATTTTTTTTTTAATTTTATTATTTTTTTATTTTTGTAGTACTGGGGTTTGCACTCAGGGCCTCATGCTTGCTAGGCAGGTGCTGTATCACTTGAGTCACTCTGCCAATTTCCCCCCCCTCCCCCAGCCCTTTTATATTTTTTTGAGACAGGATCATGTTATGTAGCTCAGGGCAGCCGTGAAATTCAGATCTTTCTGCCTCCACCTCCCAAATGCTGGGATTATAGGCGAGCACCACCATACCCAGCTCTGGAAATGGATATTGCTATCACTAGACTTCTAACTGCTCAACTCACCAGCCTACAGAGCATCATATCATCTGGTTTGCTCTCCCTTGGCCAGTCAGCCACCTTCCTGCCTCATTTCCACTACCACACCTCCACCCCCCTGGAGATCCCTCCTTCCATGCAAACCAGGCTCTGACCTTTACTAGCTGAAGGATCACTTCTCAGACCCTCCATTCCCTATCTCATCTGTTTGCCACCTTTGTATACGTTCACTGAACATCACAGCATGCAGACACAAAGGCCACTGTATAGGATGCAGCTGGAGTACAGGCATCTTCCAGTAAGGGCTCTGTAGACAGGAACTGTGACTGCAGTGTCCCTAGCTCCATCTCCCCTTACTCTGAGATCCTCTCCCTTTTCTGTCCAGGGAACCAGTTTTGTTCCTCATGGTGGCCTCTAAAATTCCCACTGTTTTCAGCAAATGCCCCAAAGCTCCCGACATTCTGTGTTCATTCATTCAATCAATTTATTCAACACATTTTCTGAACACTTAAGATGTGCTAGGCTGTGTTTTAGGCACTGGAGATGCAGCAAGAAACCAGTGAAAGATCCTTGCCATCTTGGAACTGACCTCTAGCATGGGAGATGAATATTAAACTATTAGATAAGAAAGCTGTCTTTTGGCCAGTGCCAGTGGTCATGCCTGTAATCCTAGCTACTCAGGAGGCAGAGATCAGGAGGACTGCGGTTCAAAGCCAGGCTGGGCAAATAGTTTGTGAGACCCTATCTTGAAAACACCCATCACAAAAAGGGGCTGGTGGAGTGGCTCAAATTGTTGGCCCTGAATTCAAACCTCAGTACGGCAACAGAAAAAAGAAAGAAAGAAAGAAAGAAAGCTGTCTTTTTTTTATTAACATATATTAATTGTACAAAAGGGTTTCCATACATGCATATAATGTACTTTAACTAAATTCACCCCACAAAAGTTATCATTTCAGAAAAGAAATTAGGAAAATATCTTAGAAGATGGGGTAAAAAATCAGAACCAGATTAAGGATCATGGGGAGACTGCAATTTTAAGTAGGTTACTCAGGGAAGTCTTAAGAAGGTGATATTTGTGTAAAATCCTGAGAGAAAGAAGAGAATAAGCTACATAGAGAATTGTAGAGGAGTGTTGTAGACAGAAAGAACAGCCAGTGCAAAGGCTCTAAGAAGGGAATGTACCTGCCTTGTTGGAGTGATTTGGGAGGAGGATTGTGTGGCTGTGAGGAAAAGTTACCTAGGGCCAGACAGTGTGGGGTCTTAGGTGTCACGGTAGAGACTTTGTCCTTTCCCTTGAGTGAAAAAGAGCCATGGGAGGGTTCTAGGAGGGGAAGTGTGAGATCTGACTTAACCTTCACCTGACTGTGCATGTGTGGGGAACTAAAGATAGGGGATGCAGGGGGAGGAGGTGACAATGAGAAGCTGATGAGATGGGATGTCCAGTTGGGAGATGAAGCTGGACAATGCCAGGTGGGAGGCAGATTCTGACCATTTTGAAAATAAAACCAGTATTTACTGGAAAATTACATGACAAGCATAAAAACCAGGAGTCAAGAATGACTCCCAGGTTTGGAGCCTAAGCAACTTGGAGTTGTGGTTCATTTGTTTATTCATTTATTTTTGTTGGTTTGAACTAAGGGCTTCCAACTTGCTAGGCAAACGCTCCCTACCACTTGAGCCATGCCCCTCAGCTCCATTTGCATTTTAAATTTATTCATTTTTATAATTTATCTTTTTATTTTACTTTAAATTTTTTGCCTTTCCCCACTGGACTAGAAGCTCCAAGAAGAAAGGAACTTTGTTGTGCTTACTGATGTCACCTCAGTGCCTAAAATGCTGCCTGGTATACAGAAGGTGCCATGACTGGGCTCAATCTGTGTCCCCAATTTTTGTGTAGTAAGGGCTCAAGAATTTGTAAAGCAGAACAAATCTCTGCTCTTCCAGAGAAGAGACACCCCAAGACTCACCGTCAGAGGGCAGGGGGTCTCTGCGGTGTCTTGGGAAGGGGAGGAGGAGGAGGAAGAGGAGGGAGTGAGTGAGCCTGGGGAAGGAAGACAGAGAGTGAGTCCCCTGGCCCCAACATCTTCTATGGCTGCCACCCACTCCACAGCCCCAGTGCCCAACACCTGAACCACTCACCTCGGCCAAGTGCCGCCAGTGCAGCCAGCAGACTCTTCTGGAACTCATCAGCCTCTACAGGACTCTGAAAAGTCAGCCCAAACTTGCAATCACCCAGGCTCCAGTGGTGGAAGATGGGGTTCACTTTGTTGTAAACCAAGCCTGGCCTCAGGGTACACTCCAAGGTGGTCTGATGGGCAGGAGGGGGCTGGGTGAGATACCCCCCAGTCATGACCTTTGCTCAATCCCAGTCCCTCTGCACCAACCTCATTTCCCAGCCCAGGTGTACCCTGGAACCCTGACTGACGTCCCAATACAACTCCCCAATTTAAAGGAATGCACCTCTGATACTCCAACATTTCTCCCAGTCTTTTGATCACTGCATCTTCCTCTTTCGATGTGCCAGTAGGAGCCCCAAATCTCTCTGAATGCCTAAAAAGTAGTTAACTCCTTCCAGAAATACCCTAGGTGTCCCCTTCTGACTCAAGAGTGCCCCTCACACATTACTGACCATGTCAAAATACTAAGTCAGTTCCCTTCTGGTGCCTCAAGCATTTCCTGAGGTTCCCTCCTCCCCCAATATTCTTCTTGAACTTTGCAGACATCCCCCCTCAATGCTGGTCAACCCTAAATACTCCCACATATCCCACCTAAGGCCACTGCTTCCTCCAAACCCTCCCGTTATTCCTAGTGACTCTTCATCTGAACAGCTACCTTCCCTCAAGCCTTTTCAAACAATCCAATATCCTTCTACACCCCCCCAGCTGAAACTTCCACCTCTTCCCTCTAAATTGTGCCAGACTGCCAGCTGTTCCTGCTGCACTGTCAACTGCATTTGACACTTATAAGTGGACCCACACCAAATGCCTCCGTAGACTTTGGGAGGACAGAGGCCAGTTGGTGGAGGGCCTCAGGGTGAGGGTTTCTGGGCAAGATGGAGCCATGGGAGGATTCTGATCAGAGCAAGGAGATGGTGCGAGTTGGGTGTAAGCAGGGCCCCTGTGGAACAGACTAGGGTTGGAGGGGGAGCAGGAATGGTGCAGGAAGATCCTAAGGAGGCTGCTGGGACAGACTGACTGGCAGGAGAGGCAGTGGACAGGACCTGCTTCAAACCCCAAATACTCCTCAAATTCCCAGCTCTTATCCATAGGACAGATAGTCTCATCCAAATTGCATCCCAGCTTGTCTCCCAGGTGTGAAGACAAGCTGACCTCTCCTCTGCACCCCCAGCCCCATCCCTGCCTCCCCAGGCTCCCACCCTACCCCCACGCCCCAGGGTGGCTCACTTTCTGGTCCCGGAGGCGCTCCCCGTGGATGACGTAGTGCCCCTGGCGGGCCCCCCCCTCGGGCCTGGCCCCTCGGACCCGACATACGCTCACCTGGCTGAGGCCCCCGCCCCCCACAGGCAGCCAGCCCCCACTGGAGTCATCTCGGGCCATCACCACGGCTCGGACCCGCACCATGTACCTGGAGGAGGTGGGGAGGACAGGGACAACACAGTCCGTGAACTCAAATCCTGCTCCCTCCCTCCAGTGTTCCCCCAACCCTGGTCTCCCCTATGTCCATCTCTCACATCCGGGTCCACCGCACCCTCAGCCACCAATACCCACCGTCTCCCCTTGTGCCCACTTTCTTCTAGCATGGCTTCTTTTTTCCTCGTGACATCTCTCTCCCATCTGCCTTCTTCCCCTTCTCTACCTTTTCTTGCCATACCCTCTTCTCCCCTTTTTCCCCATCCCCATCTCCACAGCCTGGGTTTGCCACTTCCCCTCCCCCTCCTGTTCATCCCCTCAACCCTTTCTGCTTCCCTCTCCAGCATATACCCACAGCCCCACCCATCGTCCCCCTCACAGCTGGGTTCCTGCGCATATATATTTTCTCTGGGCCCATCTACTCAGCTCCAGTTCTCCCAACACGGGCTCCGTACCCGATCGCCCAGTTCACTAGCTGGGTGAGAAACCCTGGCTCTCTTCCCCCCACCCCTTCCCGGATTTATGAATGAGACCGGATGCAAAGCTCACTGAGTCACCCAGCAACCGAGAGATGGGCAGGGAACAGGGAGAGAAATGGCCAGGGAGAGAGAGAGAGAGAGAGAGAGAGAGAGAGAGAGAGAGAGAGAGAGAGAGAAAGAGAGAGACATGGAGGTTGAGGAAGCCAGAAACCAGCGACCAGAAGAGATCCAAGGAGCATTTCATTCACAAAAATCAAGGCTGCTACCTCAGGTCCCAGCTGAGGGAAGCCAAAAGGGAGAGATTGGAAAGGTGGGGGGGGGGAGGCGGGATTGATCCCTCCTTCCACCTCCCTATCATCCTTCAGAAACATTTTACCCCGCCCCCAGCTCAGGGGACTTAGCCCTCCGCCCAGTAATCGGGATTAGCGTCCTGCCCCTCACTGCCACCCAGCACAGGGACCCTGGCGTCCCAACGTTAGGGACCCAGGCAACCAGTTCTAGCCCCCTCCCCCACCTGCAGGCTGCCAGGCTTTCCGGCCCTTCGGGAGGGGAAGGGGCGGCCGCAGCGCCCCCAGCCCCCTTTTCTCAATGGGATGGGTTTTTGTGAATGAGCAGTCACGTGACGCTGCTTCCTTTGTCCGCCCGCCTCCCCGACAACAGGTGAAGCAGGGAAAGAGGGCAGGGGTCCCCCCCCCCCAGGGCCTAGCTGGGATGGGGCACCGGGATCTCAGGATGCCCTACGCTCCCTACACATCTCTGTTCCCTGGGGGAGTGGTCTTCACAGTTCCTCAATGGTGAGGGTCCAGGACAGAATTTTGTGAATGGGCGTCCTCGGAGGAAGTCCAGGACCCCTAAATAAAGACTGGTACCCCAAATGGCTGCCGCGCAGCTTGGGGGCCCCCACCCCTTGTCCTCCCAGCCGGGGTCCGCGGTCACCCGGGTGGGCAGAAGGTGAAGCGCGGTCCTGCCGCCCCCTCACTGGGGCAGGCGGGCTGTCAGCCCCCGCCTCCTCGCCGCCCTGGGCACCTGCCTGGGAGGCTCCGGCCGGGCTCCGAGCGGCGGCGACGCGGCCTCCTCCTCTTCCTGCTCGCTCCGGCTCCCTCGCTGGCTCCGGCGGCGCTGGAGACGGGCACCCGGAGCCGGGGCGAGGGGGGAGGGAGGGGGAACCTGGAAAACGGGTGGGGGGGAGGGGGCGGCTTGGGGGAGGGGTAAGAGCGAGGCGCGCTTACTTGCCCGCTGGGTCCTAAAGCCCGGCACTAGCATCAACGAACAGCCCCCTAACCCCCATTTTCTCAGGATCCAGAGGGGATTCCCTACTTTTCCATTCATCTTCTCCATTGCTCTCTGATGATGTGAGGAGACAGCGAGAAGGCCTGGTTTCAGGACTCTAAAGAGGCGGTGGTCTACGTTTTGGGATCTAAATGGGAGGGGCTGGGTGCCCAGTGGGGTTCGAAAAGGGGTGGGGCGAGAAGGGAGCATTCGCAAGAGGGCGGGGTCGGAGGGCTGAGTAAGGAGAAGCTTTGGATGCCGAGAGAACCGGGAGGGTGCGTCATGGAAGGGGCGGGTCCACGGTGGATGGACCTTCCGAGTGGGCGGAGGTAGGAGAGGGTCTTTGGGAAGAGACGCGGCCAGGTCCGAAAGGGCGGAGCTTGGCGATAAATTTCCTTGGGGGCGGGGCAGATGGGCGGTTCAAGAGGAGGAGCTACGTAGCAATGATTGCAACGGGCGGGGTTTGGGGGAGGGAGTAACGGAGGGGGGCAGAGCACTTAAGGGGAGCTAAGGAGAACGTCCTCAAGAGGTGGGATTTAGGACAACTAGGCTTGGGGGCGTTGAAAAGGACCGCAGTATTTCAAAGGGAGATCCAGGTTGGCAGGGGCCGGACTCAAGCTGGCTCCTAACAGCGAGGCCTCGAGCCAGGGGGCGTGGCCTCGATCTCGGGGTCCGCCCGCGCTGTCTCGCCCACTTGCCTTCACCCGCACCCCCGTTCTTTTCGGTTATTTTCTGCTACGGCCGTTCCCCGCCCTGCCCTGGGCCCAGGGGGCCGCGGTCTGAACTTTGGTCGGCTGGAGGAGTCGGTGAGTGGGGTCTTTTAGGTGGAGGAGCCGGGGCGGAGCCTGGGAAAGGGGTGGAGCCTGAGTGTCGGGACCTGCAGGTAGACCCGAAGCGGAAAAAGTTTAGGAATGAGACTTGAGGATCTGCCGCTTCCTGGGAAGAAGGAGAGATTCAAATAATTGACAAAGGATGGGTGGGTGATGAAGGTTACAGTTGAGGGCTGAGGGATTAGCATGACCAGAATACCTGGTATTTGTGAGGCAGAGGCGGAGCAAGAGGGCGGGTTGGGGATGAAGCCAGATTCCCTGACGATCGGGGGCGGGACAAGACTGTGGGGCGGGACCTAGGTCTATGGAACCTGGTAGGAGTGTAGGGAAAGAAGCCCGAAGTCTTTGTAGGCTACTGGGCACAAGTATCATTAGCGGTGTGGACTGACAGACTAACAGAAAAACAGGCAAGACCTGAGTCTTGAAGCCTGGAGACCCGGGGCGTGGCGAGGGTGTTGGGGATGTGATCTGAAGCAGCCAAGGGGACTGGGATGGAATCTTAGTACATTAAAGGGAGGTGGGGCCTAAGTATCTGAACAGCGGTTGAGAGGCCAGGGGGAAGTGGGCGTGAGCGTCCAGACTCGGAACAGGTGACCAGAGACCAGGATTGAGTGGCTATTGGAGGAGAGAGGAGGGGCCAATGCAGATGATAAATCCAAGACCAGCCGTCCTAGTGGGGTCCCCGCAGCCCTAGCAGACTGACTGGCAAAAGTTTTTCTGGCCACAGTCCCCGACCTCCTTCGGAAATGGGGAACGTGCAGTCGGAGCCGTCCGCGGGCGGGGGCTCCCGAAAAGAGCAGGCCTCAGACCGCGCCTGTGATTCCCGCCGGACGTCCGTGGTGGAGCCCGAGGTGACCCCCTCCTCCCCGGCTGTGCGCCTGGCTCGAGGGCTGGGCGTCTGGTTCCCTGGCACCTCCACGCCCCCGGGACTCCTGGTACCCCCGGAGCCCCAGGCCTCACCCTCACCCCTGCCCCTGACCTTAGACCTGCCCTTGCCAGTGACGCCCCCTCCAGAGGAGGCGGTTGCGGCAGCGGTCTCTACACCACCCTCGCCCCCCGTGGGGACCCTGTTGCCCGCGCCTTCTAAGTGGCGAAAACCCGCGGGCACTGCGGTTTCCCGGATCCGCGGTCTGTTGGAAGCGAGCCATCGCGGCCAGGGCGACCCTCCGAGCCTCCGCCCGCTGCAACCGCTGCCCCGGCAGCTACCGGAAAAGGACCCTATCGCGAGGGCCTCAGCCCCACCTTCGACGCCCCTGGAGCCGCGGAAGCTGCCGCCGCCACCGCCACCTTGCGACCGGCAGCCCCCGATCCGTAGAATCACTCCAGCTCTGGTCACATCCGCCACAAGCCCCCCCGAAGGCCAGGCCAAGCCCAACAGCGAGGGTCCCACGGCCGGCGGGGCCCGCGGAGGAGCGCCTCCCCAAGCGGGAGAAAACGAAATGGCCCGCTCTGCGGCTTCTGAATCAGGCCTGAGCCTGCTGTGTAAAGTCACCTTCAAGTCGGGGCCCTCCTTGTCGCCTGCCGCGGCCCCGAGTCCTTTAGCGCCCAAAGCCTCGCTTGGGGGCGGCGGACTCTTCGCCCCCTCGGGCGGCATTTCTTATGCTGAGGCTCTGAAGCAGGGGCCCCTGGCTCCCGGGGCCGCTCGCCCTCTGGGAGAGTTCTCTCGTGGGGCACAGGAAACCGAGGGCGGTGATGGCGATGGCGAAGGGTGTTCTGGTCCCCCTTCGGCGCCTGCGCCCCACAACCGGGCCCCACCGCCGCCCCCCTACACCACTTTCCCAGGCTCGAAGCCCAAATTCGACTGGGTGAGCTCTCCTGAAGGCCCTGAGCGCCACTTCCGCTTCAACGGAGCTGGAGGGGGCGTCGGGGCGCCCCGACGGCGGGCGGCCGCGCTCTCGGGGCCTTGGGGCTCTCCCCCGCCACCGTCAGGGCAGACGCACTCGGCTCCCGGGCCCCGAAGGCCCACGCCTGCCCTGCTGGCGCCTCCGATGTTCATCTTCCCGGCGCCCACCAATGGCGAGCCCGTGCGCTCGGGGCCTCCGGGTTCGCAGCAGATACCGCCACCGCCGCCGCCGCCGCCGCCGCCGCCGCCGTCGCCGCCCACGCCACCAGCCACGCCGCCTCCCGCACCGCCGCCCGCACCGCAGCCCACACCACAGCCCGCGGCCCTCCAGCCAACGCCGCTGCTGGTGGCCCGCCCACCCACCCCAGCAGTGGGCCTCGAGGAGTCAGTCCTGGCTACCACCCCAGCCCCTACCCTGTCCCCTGCCTTGGCCGCGGAGCAGATCCCGGCACCCGCCCTGCCCCCATCCCCATCCCCAGCTCCCATCACCTCCCAGCCTTCGACGCCCGCGCCCCCGCCTATCAAGGGTCGCACGCGCAGGAACAAGGGTCCACGCGCGGCACGAGTCGCGGCTCGTGAAGATGCCACGCCTGGAGATGGCCCTCGCGAACGAACTACAGCTACCGATAGCGGGGGTGGTGGCAGCGGGGTCCCTACCAAGGGCGCCGCGCACCGCTGGCCGCCTTTTCAGGTGCTTAACTCTTGTCCTTGCAAGTGTTACTGCCGCCACCAGTCCCGCCATCGTCGCCTGCCACGCAACGTGTCTGCCTGGTGAGGGAGGTGTGGAAGTAGGGAGGGGATGGAGAGGGACCCATGCAAGTTCTGGATGAGCTCATCCAGGATACTCTGACCAGGGTCCTGACCCTTGAACCTCCTACCTGCATGTCAAACCTGGTTGGGCTCCAATCCCTCAGGAGCTTTGATTCCATACTGACCCAGCCTCCCAAGTTAACCATCGGTGGTGCTGCTACTCTCTGAAGCCAAGGAGGGAGGGAAACTGTACCAGTTCACCTGACCCTGTTCGCTACCAGGAGTCTGTCTCTAAGGGCACCAAGAGACCATGTTCCAAGCTCATCCGGGGTGGGAGGGAGATGACTGCCTTCCCAGAGCACGGGAATCCCTGGGCTAGCCTCTCATGAACCCTTAGCCTTTGACCACCAGAGGGCACAGATGCCCCAGCCCTGTGCTTCAAGGGCTGCTTCCCAGAGCCTGTACCAGGGGAGATACTGCACCCTCCTAATACCACCCAGCAGTGCCTAGCTTTCTACTGAATCTCTGGATCTGGTTCCCGTCTGACCCTGGCTAGCAAATACACTGAACCCTGAGACTCTGCCTGGGACCTCTTCCAGGCTCAGCAAGGCACCATCACCAACCCTCAGCCCCCTTTCCTGCTCTAAGCAGGTGTGGCTCTGCCAGAAGTCCTTATTCACAGGGAAGGCGAAGCCTCAGAAGGGGGAGGGCCTGGTCACCCAGACAAGCCCTGTCGCTCTTTCCCTCCTCCCAGGTTGAGAACACCTACCAACCACCTGAGCGAGCCACCCTGGGTTGCCACCATCAAGCTGGCTGGATCCTTGGTAGCTGGGTTGGAACACTACGACTTGCAAGCCACCCATTCCAACTGAGTGGTGTGTGTAATGCCCCTGCATTCCCCTCCATTCCAATAAATTAACCACTCCAGACACCTAGTCGCCTGTTGAGTCACTGCTGGGGCTGGAGTGGCAGGGTAGGCACAGCTGAGGCCTCCATCAAAGGGCCACACCCTGGATGTGCTAAGTCCCCCTAAGTCAACTAGCTAGGGCAGCAGTAAGCCAGGTTCCATCCAAGTGGCCCAGGGTAGGGAGGGAGCACTCACTCCCCTAAACTACACAGCCCATGTCTGATCTGATCTGATCTGGTGCCAAACTAGAAGTGAGTGACAAACCACTCTGGAGAGATGTGATCACGCCTAGTTGACAGAGGGGCGAACTGACTCTGGATGCTTTTCCTGAAAACCCTACAACCCACAAATGGCTCAGCCAGGCTTGGACTCAACCCCTTAACCTTCCCAAGAACTTCAAGGCAAGAAGCAGGCTGGCGGGCGGGAAGTCCGAAGTCACAGGGTTGGCTCAGGAACAGGGATCTGGGCATATCCACACCTTTTGTTCCAGAGGGCTCACACAAGTAGCCCACAGACAGGGTCCATTTCACATATTGTTTTAAAAATTATTTAATTAATCAACATTTAAAAAAACTGGGAAAACTTCTTCACCCACCCCCTTTGCTGAAAAAAACCTAACACCCTGGCCAAACATTGCAGTGTGTCACATGGCTGGCTGGAGCAGTCCCTGTACATGGGGCCTGTGCTCTCCTGTGGGCCACAGGGCCATTGGGCACCTGTGTTTGAGACCAGAAGCAATGGCCGCTGGACAGAGGCTGACCAGATGGAGGGTATTACTGGTAACCCCCAACCCAAGAGCCCCCAAACTTCCAAGATTTCCAGGCATGATAGCTGTCTCCCCCGCCACCCTGACTGGGGAGACAAGGGCCTGGAAGAGCAGTTAATCCACCTTTATTGGAGGGCAGCCTGCACTAGGACTGTTTTGAATAACCATGCCCTGCCCGTCCCAGGGCCCGTGGGCTCAGACGATCATCTCCAGCTGCCGGGCATATTCGATGACCTGTTTGGCCAGTTCCGTGGAGGGGATGGTGGTATCTTCTGGCTTCTGCTGCTGGCTGGCAAAACTGTAGTAGTTGTTGGGGCCCAGGACCCACCCTCGCTGCAGGAAGGGAAGGTTCAGAGATGGGTAGAATGATCCCAAAGGCTGTCTCCTGATCCCATGGAGCTCCCACTCACACCTGTGCCGTGGCTGCCTTTCTTCACCAACCCCCTTCTACCTGCACAACTCTGGGTAAGGAATTTCACTCTCTGGGCCTCAGTTTCTCCATGCTCAAGATGGGGGTCTTAATCATACTTTGCGCCCAATTCGAGGATTCAATCAAAACTTCTGAAGCACTAAAAATAGTGCTTGGCTGACTGTGATCGATAGCTGTCACCATCACTCACAATCGCACCCATTCCATAGTCTGCTCTTGACCTTCCTCCTAGACACCAGGGTCATAACTCACACCATGAGTCAGTATCTCCAGGGTACTGCTCCTGCTCCAATGCTCCACACCAAATGAAGCAAAGTTTTATGGGGAAAGCCGCCACCTCCAAAGAATTCTGCTAAGTGTAAAAGCCAACATACAGAGTGCCCCTCAACTGGTGCCACGTGACATTATGCTAAGCCCATCCCACGTTAAACTCTAGCTCCCTTTCATGGATAGGCGAACTGAAGCTCAGAGAGGCTTAGCAACTTGCCTAGGGTCCACACCGCTGGATCTAACTGTGGGAAGTCCTGCTCCCTCTAGTGTCCCTCTGGACCACCAGCCCACCGCACAAACACTGCTGTTACACAGCGCCTCTCTCGCTTCCACAGCCCCTTGCCCTGCACCCCAGCCACCTTCTTGGCGTAGTCCGTCATCTTTTTTGGTGTGTTGAAGAAGAGGATTCGGGTGGCCTCGGTGAAGAGGATCTTCTCATAGGCCTTCTCTATGCACCCAGCAATTTCATCCCTGCAGGGAAGATGATGAGTTCTCATTACTGAGTGCAGACAGCCTCCCAGGTCCTGTCCTCCCAGGCCTGATGGGTTGGTTCTGGCCCTTCAGTTCAGCACTGACGTCTGGAATAGAGTATGTTACTGCCTCAGCTAACTGACAGAGGCTCACAAAGAGGGAGCTTAACCTGAGCTACAAGACTCAGATCTAAATCTGACTCCTGTACACTGAAAACAGCAGGTCCATACCCTTGAATCCCACTCCCAGCCACGATGGATTCAGGCTGTCTGAAACCCAACTTGGGATTCAGATCTCTTCATATATGACCCCCTTCACAAGCATGCTGTACCCCACTTCATAGATCATGAGTGGGTTCTTTGTACCTATCAAATAGCACCATGACAACACAAGTGTAAAAACAGCAAGGCTAGGTATGATGGCTCATGCTCGTAACTCAGCACTCTGGAAGCAAAGCAGGACTGAGTTTGAGGCCAGCCTGGGCTGCAGGTGATTGAGACCCTCTCTGAAATTAAAAACAGCAAGGCATCAAGTCAGTGGGATGGGGGTAGGGTGAAGTCTGGGAAAAAAAACAGTGACAGAGAGGGGAGTGTCCCTTTCTGAGACAGGTATGGGTATATGAACTCTTCTTCACCTAGGAGAGATTTGGGTATTTTTGTTTTGCAGGACTGGGATTTGAACTCAGGGCTTCATGCTTGCAAAGCAAGCGCTCTACCACTTGAGTTACACCTTCAGTTCATTTTGCTCTCATTATTTTGGACATGGGGATCTCAAGAACTATTTGCCAGGGCTGGCCTACAACTTAATATCAGCCTCCCAAGCAGCTAGGATTATAGACATGAGCCATTAGTACCTGGCACTTGGGAGAAATTTGGGAGAGCTACAACATTTTATAACAGAAAATACCCTAAGGCTGGTGCTATGGCTTACCTAGCTCGTGTGAGGCCCTGAGTTCCACCCTCACAACACCACCCCCCACACCAAACCCACTAGGCTGCCCTTCCTCCCTTCTGCCATGCCTGTGTGCTTGTCTTTGCTATTCAAAGAATGGAAATTCACTCCAATCTGGTACTGTGCCCAAGTGGAACCAGCAGTAGAACCACTTGACACCCTTTTACACCTTGAGGAATGAGTACATCTTCCCATGTGATGTCATTTGTGCACACAGCAACCTGAGGAGCAGGTAGAACTTTGTGGTCTCATTCTAGAGAAGGGAGAACTGAGGGTCCCCAGCCTAGGTGCCCTGAGGAGGGGTCCCGTAACTCACACGACGGTCCCTGGAGGAGGGGTGCAGGAATGGGCTGAAGCACTTCTTAGAGAGGCAGGAGGCCCATCTGCTGAGATGTCTGGGTGCCACATCCAGGCAGGTCTGACCCACATGGCCACACATGTAAACAGCCCAGGGCAAGAAAAGGGCTATTGTCTACAACCAAAGGAACCAGTTCCACTTCCAGAAAAGGAGGAACGAGGTGCTAGGGGATAGGAACCAAGCCTGGCTCGCTCAGATCAAGGCCAGCCAGAACAGGACTGCCCCTTTCCTCACCTGATAGTGTCCAGCAGGATGTCAATGAAAAAGGTGTAGCTCTCGGCGGGGATATTTCCCTTGGCCAGGAACACCTTGTTGTAGCTGCCTTCCATCAGGTACTGCACAGGCAAAGAGAGGAAAGAAGGGGTGAAGAGGCAGCACTGGGCTTTCCTGCACTGTCAATGTCCCACCCCAGCCCCTCTGTGTCAGGACACCCTTGGATATATAGACACTCACTCCTGGCAGGTGGGGTTCCTCCTAGCCAGGAAGTTCCTGCTGGTTTACTTCCTCACACACACTCTCTCCTAACCTGACCTGGGTTGGTATCCAGTCATTTCTTCTCCATTGACAGGAAGCGGCAGGGCTGGGTCCACCCAGCCTCCCCCTCCACACATCTGCCCGCCACAGGCTGCCTCCTACCTGTCCTCTCTGCTGCCCTTCCTCACAGTCTCCTCAGCTCTAGGTCCCTCTTCGTCCCCGCTCTGAAGCTTCTTCCCAGGGCCCCTTACCTCGCTCCAGAAATACTGTCTTTTCTGCTGTCCCTCAAGCATGGCAGGCAGGTTTCTGCCTCACGACACTTAGTCTGGCCAGTACCTTCCCTTCAGCTGGACATCCACATGGTCTGCTTCTCACCTCTTCCAAGTTTTCCTCAAATCTCACCTCTCCCAAATCTCCACCTCCTCCTACTTGTTTTTCTCCACAGCACTTAACATCTGACAGACTGCACAGGTTATTTATTCTTTTGGTTTGCTGTCAGCTTTCTCCCCTCCCCATCATCTCCACAAGATCTGGTATCTTATCTGTTTGAATCCCTGCAGTCTGAAAACCCATTTTAGCAGCTGGGATGCAGTACGTGTTGCTGAATGAGCAAATGAGTCCATGGGTTGAGGATGGCTGGACCCTGACAGCTCTCTGGGAAACCCTCTTCACTGTCTGTCTGCACATCACCCACCTCAGCCAGGCCCTCCCGGTCCCCTGCCCCAGCCTCACTTGTTCGAGGGACACAGGGTGCTTGATGTAGACATTGGTCTGGATGTCCTTGGCAGGCAAGCGCTCCAACTCTGTGTGGAACTCAGCCACCCGGTTCTGGGACAGCAGGAAGAGGAGGTTGAGGCCCAAAAGCTGGTGCATGTAGGCCGACTCAGGGAGCTGCTCCCTGAGGATCAGGGAGGGAAACCAAGGTAAGGAGGAGTCAACCAAGTGCCTCTCCCCAGGCTCCAGGAACCCTCACAACAGTTTCAAGAGATTCAGATGAGGAAAGTGAGGCCCAGAGAGGCACAAAAGTCACAGGCAAGTGACCTCACTGCAGTGAACTGACTCAGCCTCTGTTTCCCCACCTGTAAAACAGCTATCCCTACACTATCTAGAGAATTAGGGGTGAGTGAAGGGGGTGATGTGAACTAAGTGACCTAACCCAGGTAAGGTGATTAAGAGTATCCAGCCCAAATAAACTCTATTAAGTGCTAAGATTATATTAAGAATCATCACCCCCACATTAGGGTGAGAACTGAGACTTAAGAGAGATGAAATCATTTGCCCAAGAGCACATAATTAGAAAGTTTCAAATTCTTAATCATTAATTCATGCAGAATCATCTAGTTTTATGTTCAACACAAATTCAATGAATTCCCGCTTTGGGCCTGGCCCTGTTATAGATGGTGCCAGAAACAAAGCAGTGACCAAGACAATTCCAGATTCGGCCTTTTGGAAGCTCACAGTGTAGTGGGAGAGACAGGGCTGGAATGGGTGAGGCACAATCGAAGAAGTGAGGGCCAAGATGGAGGGTCTGCAGCAGAGAGGTCAGGGCTGGGACAGCAATGGAGGCCACAGAAGAGAACATGGTCTTGAGCATGTGTGCCATGGAGAGCCATGACAGGTTCTAAGTAGAGGATCAAGACAGTCAAATTTTCATGTCATAAAGATCTTATTGGGCCAGAGGTTTTGATACACAACTAATTCCAGCACTCCCAAGAGGCAGAGGCAGGAGGATCACAAATTCCAGCCTGGAATTTGGAATATGGGCTACATAGCCAGACCATGTCTCAACCCCCCCCCAAAAAAAAAACAAAAAAACCAAACAAAACCCAAAAGATAAGATCCTACTGGCTGCTTTGGGGATATGAGTGAAGGGGGTGACTGGAGCCAGGGCAGATGAATGGGGATAGTGGCCACTCTGGGCAGAGGGGTGTAGGGTGGGAATGGGTAAGGAGAGGCAGAGAGGAGACCTATAGAAACTGGACCATACAACCAACTCTGTGATCTTGTGGCCTCTGGGAAAAGAGCTAAGCAGAACAGTGGTTCCCAGGTGAAGGAAGACAACCTCCATGGCTGCAACAGAAGAAATAAGTGAACTGCCAAGTAACCACCCCCACCAGTCAGGGACAGGGCCCATTCTCACTTGTAGTCAAAGTAGTAGCATTTGAGCTGGGCCATGTAGCGCTCGAAGGAGGGGATGTCCTTGCGTAGGATGCTCCACTGGGCCCCAATCTCCAGTATGTCACCTGTGGGTGACAGGGTGGGCTCAGAGGGTGACTGGGCTTCCTTCCCACACCACTACTGTGACTGTTCCTGACATGTCCTCCAGCCCATCACCCTCCACAGTCCCAGTGACACTCACGGGCCAGAATGAGCTGCTGTTTGGTTAGCTTGGTCCCTGTGGTTGGCAGGAAGTTGAGCTCCAGAAGAACCAGCTGATGGGATTAGAAATGAGGGAAAGATGAGACTTCAAAATATAAGTACTTATCTTCTCTGGGCTTTTGTTTTCCCACTTGGAAAATGAGTTAACCATCACCCCAACACATAAAATTGCTGTATTAAGAGTCAGTCTTCATAAAACACTCAGAATAGGGCCTGAGCTCACAAGGACTCATTTAGGATTACGTCATATGACAATTATTAATAACCCCACTGGGGAAACAGGAACCACTCAGTACCTAACCCAATGAAGTCACGGGGTGAGAAGACGCCAGCACCCTCAGTCCTAGCAGAGCTTCCTGGCATTCTGGGAAGGGGTTATTGGCTAACCCTCTCTTCTAGTTTGGCCCATTCACCATTCTTTGGACCCGCCTACTTTACACCTCCTCCCAAACACAATAGAATGTGCTCACACCCTGCACCTCATATTCTTGTTCTTCTAGGTCCCTCACCCCAGATCTCTCAGCCCCTAACTTAGTCTGGTCTTAGCCACCCATCCCCTACACACTCCATCATCTCCGCCTCACTCTTTCACCACTCTGTGCAGTCCTCGGCCTCCCCACTTGGTCGTGTCTGGAACCACCCTACGAAAAAAACCCCGACACCCAAAAGTACCCCGACCAGTCAGGCTTCCAAGCACCAACGATGTTAACTCTCAATCAGTTTTCTGCCATAACCAGTCTTTGCATCGCTGCCTCCCGCCCCGCCCCGTGGGACCGCATTTGGTCGGTTCCAGTCCTCTCTCACTTCTTGACCCCTCCGCGCCCGCACATGGGCTGTTCCGAATCTTTCTCCCTTCGGGATCCGCTGGGCCCGCCTTGGTCCCGTCGGTACCCAGAGCCTCGGGGGTGGCGGGAGCTTAGCTCAGCCCCAGATCCCGCTTGCAGCGCCCCGCAAGCACTAGGCTGGCTCCCTTGGCCCGCCGACCCGTACCTTGAGGCGGCCCAGCTCTTCCCCGCATTTGCTAAGATTGGGGCTTTTACGGTTCCACTCGCCCTTGAGTTGCTCGTACATGCCGGCCGCGGCCTGCAGAACCGCTCCCGAGGCAGCCGCGGGCCCGGAGCTCGAGACACCAGACCCTCCGTTCACCGCCGCAGCCGCCATCTTCCGTGATGCGGCAAATCGCCTGCCTGTTTTACGGCAGCGACGCCTACTGACGCTCGCCCGGCGGAAGTGGGGCCGGGAGGTGGAGCCCAAGGGCGGGGGCGGGGCTACGACGGCCCTCAGCAGCCGGCCGCTGGGGGTGCGCCGTCGCTCTCGGGGTGGTGGCCTCGGAGCCTTGCCCTTAATGAACATGTCAGTTAGAGCTCCGTCAAAATGGTGACCGGAAGCCGGCTTGCCCTAACCGAAAAAAGATGACAGCGATCTCAACGCCAGTAGTCAATATGGCCGCCCTGGCTTCACCTTATGCGTGCCGGACGTTACGTTACTGTCTTGAAGGATCCACTTTCAGGACAGCTTCCCTAAGCCATGGCAGGTGTCGATGTGGAGCCATTTGGACAACTGAGTCATTTTATAGACAGGTTCTGAAAGGCTGTGTAACCTGAAAACAACCTATGGCTTTAAATGCCACGCCAGGCAGAGGATTCCCAGTTTTATAAAAATCCCAACTCTAATTGATGCACAGAGTGTTTCATTGTGATATTTCCATATACACATATAATGTGCTTTGCTCAAACTTGCTCCCAGTATTACCTTCTCTTATCCACCCCTCCCCTCTTTTAAAACAATTTTAATGGATTTCATTATTCCATTTATATATATGTATATAAAGTACTTCGATCATATTAACCCCTCCCCTCTCACCCTTTCCTTTTGCCCTCTACTGCTTTCTACCCCCAAACAGTCCCACTTTTATGCTAATTTTTATTTTAGGTCTCAATTCCGCATATGAGAGAGAACATGCAATGTTTGTCTTTCTCAGTCTAGCTTATTCCACTTAACTATCTCCAGTTTCATCCATTTTTCTGAAAACTACAGTTTATTTCTTCTTCATGACTGAATAATACTTCGTCGTGCATATATACCACATTTTCTTTATCCATCTATTGTCGGGTACCTAGGTTGAGTCCATAGCTTGGCTACTGTGAGTAGTGGTGCTGTAAACATGAGTGCACAGGTATTTCTACTGTATGCTGACTTACAGCCCTTCAGATATATTCCCAGGAATGTTATAGCAGGATTATATGGTAGTTTTTTTTTTTTTTCGTTTGCAGACAATTATTTTTCTTTTGGTGGTAGAGGGGTTTGAACTCAGGGCCTCCCACATGCTAGGCAGCTGCACTACCACTTCAACCACCTATTTTTAGTGTAGATTTTGTTTTGTTTTTTGCGGTACTGAGGTTTGAACTCAGGCCTTCATGCTTTTAGGCAGGTGCTCTACCACTTGGGTCACTCTGCCAGCCTTTTTTTGTGTTGAGTATGTACTAGCTAAGGTCTTTTGAACTATTTGCCCTGGCTGGTTCCGAACTACATCCTCCCAATCTCTGCCTCCTGAGTAGCTAGGATTGCAAGCACAAGCCACCAGTGCCTAGCTTGTTTTTAGTGTTTTGAGGAAACTATATGCTGATTTCCATAGTGGCTGCATTCATATACATTCCCACCAATAGCATATAAAGAAGGGTTCCTTTTCCCCTGAATCTTCACCAGCACTTCTTGTTGTTTGTTTTTATTTTTTGGCAGTACTATTATATTTACTTGAAAGTATTTTATTAATATTGGCCATTTTAAAATGATATCATTTCATGAACCTCCAAATGAACTTTTTAAGTAGACAAGGGGAAGATTTGAGGGTCTCTCACCTATTTGTAAAACTGCCAGAACTTCTTTTATAAGATCAGTATCTTCAAAGTCAGAAGCTAAACAAAACTTTTTCCTTTAAAAATGCATACACAAACATTTCATCTACAACTGTATTATATCTTTGACAAATCTCTATTGGGAGGTTCAATACTAAGTACAGGCATTTATCTTCAAAGCAGTTTTTTTTTTCAGGTTTGAAAACTTTATCATGTCAAGTATGGAAAATAATTTTTCCATAATTTAAGAATACATGAATTCACTTAGAGATGTCTCTTCAAATTCAGTGAATCAATCCATCTCTTCAGCAAATTTTGTCAGGACTCCATGTCAATATCCACTTTTTAAAAAATGTTTTTGCAGTGCTGGGGTTTGAACTCAGGCCCTTCACCTTGAGCTACTCCACCAGCCCTTTTTTATGAAGGTTTTTTTGAAATAGGGTCACGCAAACTATTTGCCTGGGCTGGCTTTGAACCGAGATCCTCCTCATCTCTGCTTCCTGAGTAGCTAGGATAACAGGTGTGAGCCACTGGTGCCTGGTTCACTTACATCTTTTAAGTGTTTTCTCTATGTTTTCTTGTAGTAATTTCAGTTTCAGGACTTACATTAAGATCTTTGATCCATTTTGAATTAATATATAAAAACCACATTTTCTTTGCCCAGTCCTTGGTTGATGGGCACTTGGTCTGATTCCCTAGCTTGGTTATTGTGAATAGTGCTGCTATAAACATGGGTGTGCAGATATCTTGATTGTACGCTGACTTATATTCCTTCAGATATACACTCAGGACTGGTATGGCAGGTTCATATGGTAGTTACCTTTTTAGTTTTTGAAAAAACTCCATAGGGATTTTCATAGTGGTTGTACTGATTTACCTTCCCACTTTAGGGTCTGTTTTCTCCCACATCCTCACCAGCATTTGTTGTTTATTTTCTTGATGATAGGGGTGAGATGGAATCTCAGTGTAGTTTTGATATGCATTTTCCTTTATGGCTGTGAAAATTACATTGGAATTGTGATGAGGATTGCATTGTCTCTGTAGATTGCTTTTGGCAGCATAACCATTTTCACAATTCTAATTCTGTCATTCTACGAACATGAGAGTTTCTTGCATTGTGGGTTTGTTTTCCTGATTACTTTCTCAACCTGTTCATTGCCAGTGTACAGAAAAGTACCGATTTTTGTATGTTGATTTTGGATCCTGTTACTTTGCTAAAAGTTTTTTCAGATCTAGGAGCTTTTTGGTGGAGTCTTTAGGGTCTTTTAAGTATAGGATCATATCATCTGCAAATAGGGATATTTTGACTTCTTCCTTTCTTATATGAATCCCTCCCTCCCTTCCTTCCTATTTTTTTTTTGTTGGTACTAGTGATTGATCTCAGGGCCTCATGCTTGCTAGGCAGGTACTCTAACACTTGAGTCATCCCATCAGACTTCTTTTATTTCTTTCTCTGGACAGGAATTCCAGCACTTTATTGAATTAAGAATGGAGAGAGCAGACACCATTGTCTCATTACTGATTTGAGAGGAAATGCTTTCAGTTTTTCCTCATTTACTGTGATGTTGGCTATTGGTTTGTCAGAGATCGCCTTTATTATGTTGAGGTACATTCTTTCATTTCTACTTTGGCTAGGGTTTTTTATCATGAAGGGATGTTGAATTTTGTCAAAGACTTTTTCTCCATCTATTGAGTTATCATGTGATGTTTTTCCTTATTTTGTTTATAAGCTGTCTTATGTTTATTGTTTTGCATATGTTGCACCATTCTTCTATTCCTGTAGTGAAACCCACTTGATCATGGTTTATGATCTTTTAATGTGTTGTATTTTATTAACAACTTTTGTACATATGTTCATAAAGGAAATTGGTCTGTAATTTTATTTTCTTTTCTGTTCTTTGTTATGCCCTTATCCAGTTTTGTTTTCAGGGTAATACTGGCTTCATAAAATGAGTCTGGTAGTTTTCCTTCCCTTTCTATGTTATGGAGTACTTTGAGGAGCATTGGTGTTAATTTTCCTTTAAAGGTGTGGTAGAGTTCAGCAGTGAATCCATCTAGTACTTTGTTGGGAGATTCTTCATTACTACATCAATGTCATTGCTTGTTATAGATCTATTTCTAGGGTTTAGATCTTCCTGTTTCAATTTTTGTAGTTCATTTGCATCTAGAAATTTATCTATATTCCTATTTATTAGAATATAAGTTTTTGAAGTATTCCCTAATGATCTGAATTTAATTGGTGTTTGTTGTGTTATCCCCATTCTCATCTATAATTTTATTAATTTGGGTCTTCTTCCTCTTGGTTTTGGTTAGTTTGGCTAAAGATTTGTCAATCTTGTTTACCTTTTGAAAGAACCAACTTTTGTTTTTATTGACTCTTCATATTGTTTTTTAGTCTCATTTCATTAATTTCTGCCCTTAACTTTATTATTTCTCTCTGTCTAGTGGGTTTGGATTGTTTGTGTTTTCCCAAGAGTTTGAAGCACATTCTTTCATCATTTCTTTGGGATAGCTCTGATTTTTAAATGAAGGCACTCTGCTATAAACCTTCCTCTTAGCATGGCCTTTGCTGTGTCCCAAAGGTCTCGTAAGTTGTCTTTGCATTTTCATTTGATTCTTTGAATTTTAGATCCCCCACTTACCTGTTAGATAACTCACTGATCATTCAAGAGTGAGCTGATCAGCCTCCATATGTTCAATTATCTATAATTTCTCTTGTTATTGATTTCTAGTTTTATTACATTGTGGTCTAATGAAATACAGTAACTTATTTCAGTTTTCTTGCATTTGTTAAGACTTGCTTTATGTTCAAGATATAATCTATTTTGAGAAAGTTCTGTGGGCTGCTGAGAAGAATGTTTATTCTGTTTCTGTTGGGTGGAATATTCTGTAGATATCTGTTAAATTCATTTGATCTACAGTGCAATTTAATTCTGAAGTTTACTTGTTGATCTTATTTTTTTGGTCAGGATGACCTTTCATTGGTGAGAGTGGGTTATTAAAGTTACTCACTATTATTATTGGGATGTATCTGTGCTTTTATGTCTAGTAGTTTGCTTTATGAAATTTGATGTATCAACACTTGGTGCATACATGTTTAAAATTATATCTAAGTGCTGGAATCTTCCCTTTATGAATTTGAAGTGACCTTCTTTGTCTCTTTTCATTAATTTTGGTTTGAAATCCACTTTGTCAAATATTAGTATAGCTTGTGTTGATTATAGCTTGTGGAGCCTGCTTGTGTTCAGGTTCCATTTGCTTGGGAAATCTTTTTCCAGCCTATCTCTTAAGCCTCTATTTGTGTTTGCTAGTGAGGTATGTTTCTTATAAGCAATGGTAAGGTCTTGTTTTTAATCTAATCTGTCTGTCTTTTCTTTTGATTAGAGAACTGAGACCACTAAATTCAGAGTTATTAATGTAAGTAGCTAGTAATTCTTGCCATTTTATTAGTTTTTGGTGGCACTGGGGTTTGAACTTAGGGCCTCACCCTTGCTAGGCAGGTGCTATATCACTTGAGCCAGCCCTTTTCTTGTGATGGGTTTTTTTTGAGATAAGGTCTGCAAACTATTTCCCCAGGCTGGTTTTGAACTGTAATCCTCCTAATATCTGCCTTCTGAATAGCTAGTTTTATAGGTGTGAACCACCAGTGCCTAGCTCATTTTATTAGTTTTGTAATTCTCAATTCTTCCTTACTCCTCATTTGTTTATCTACTCATCTTGTGGGATTTATTCTTTCCTATATTTTCACGGTTGCATTTATCTACCTCTTCTGTGTGAAGGACTCCCTTAAGTATCTTTGGTAGCACTAATTTACTGATCAGGGATTGCTTTAGTTTTAGCTTATCATGGAAAGTTTATATTGCCCATTCAAAGATGAAGGTTGGCTTTGCTGGATACAGCAATCTAGTTTTGTGGTTATTTTCACTCAGGACTTGAAATAAATAATTCAATGCTTTCTTTGTTTTTAGTTTCTGCTGAGAAATCTGTTGCTTGACTTTCTAGTTGAGTTGCAGCTTCTCTCTTGCAACTTCAATATTCTTTCCTTGTTCTGCATGCCTAATATTCTAACTGTTGTATGATATGGTCTTGTTTCTTTGGTGTTCTAAAAGCCTCCTGTTCCTGGATGGCACCTCTTTCTTAAAATATGGAAGTTTTCTGCTATTATTTTACTGAATATATTTTCTATGCTTGTAGTTTGATCCTCTTCTTTTATGCCCATGATTTGTAGGTTTGGTCTTTTGATGTCACAGAGCACATAGGTCTTGCATGTTCTGTTCATGTTTTTGTTTTGTGTTGTTTTGTTTTTTCTCCATCTTCCTGTGTATGTTCTAACACATCCACCTTGCCTTCAAACCATGGAAGTCTGTCTTTGATTTGATCAAGTCTACTGAAGAGACTTTCAACTGAGTTTTTTATTTGACTTATTGAGCTTTTCATTTCCACAAATGTGTTTTGATTTTTTTAGAAGTTCTATATCTTTATTGAATTTTTCAAGTCCAGGACCTGATGGATTCTCTGCTGAATTCTATCAGACCTTTAAAGAAGAACTGATACCAACCCTCCTTAAACTGTTCCATGAAATAGAAAGGGAAGGAAAACCGCCTAACACATTTTTTGAAGCCAGTATTACACTTATCCCAAAACCAGGCAAAAACACCTCCAAAAAGAACTATAGGCCAATCTCCTTAATGAAAATTGATGCAAAAATCCTCAATAAAATAATGGCAAACCGAATTCAACAACACATCAAAAAGATTATTCACTACGGCCAAGTAGGCTTCATCCCAGGAATGCAGGGGTGGTTCAACATACGAAAATCAATAAATGTAATAAATTGCATTAACAGAAGCAAAGACAAAAACCACTTGATCATCTCAATAGATGCAGAAAAAGCCTTTGATAAGATCCAACACCATTTCATGATAAAAGCTCTAAGAAAAGTAGGAATAGAAGGAAAGTACCTCAACATTATAAAAGCTATCCATGACAAACCTACAGCCAGCATTATACTTAATGGAGAAAAACTGAAACCATTCCCTCTAAAATCAGGAACCAGACAAGGATGCCCTTATCTCCACTCCTATTCAACATAGTACTGGAATTCCTAGCCAGAGCAATTAGGCAAGAAGAAGAAATAAAAGGGGGTTCTGCGTTCTCTGCACAAAATGCCCGGTGAAGCCACAGAAACCGTCCCTGCTACAGAGCAGGAGTTGCCACAGCCCCAGGCTGAGACAGGGTCTGGAACAGAATCTGACAGTGATGAATCAGTACCAGAGCTCGAGGAACAAGATTCCACACAAGCAACCACACAACAAGCTCAGCTGGCGGAGGCAGATGAAATTGATGAAGAACCAGTCAGTAAAGCAAAACAGAGTCGGGGTGAAAAGAAGGCACGGAAGGCTACGTCCAAATTGGGTCTTCGACAGGTTACAGGGGTTACTAGAGTCACTATCCGGAAATCTAAAACTATCCTCTTTGTCATCACAAAACCAGATGTCTACAAGAGCCCAGCTTCAGATACCTACATAGTTTTTGGGGAAGCCAAGATTGAGGATTTATCTCAGCAAGCACAGTTAGCAGCTGCTGAGAAATTCAAAGTTCAAGGTGAAGCTGTCTCAAACATTTAAGAAAACACACAGACTCCAACTGTACAAGAAGAGAGTGAAGAGGAAGAGGTTGATGAAACAGGTGTGGAAGTTAAGGACATAGAATTGGTCATGTCACAAGCAAATGTGTCAAGAGCAAAGGCAGTCCGAGCTCTGAAGAATAACAGTAATAATATTGTAAATGCTATTATGGAATTAACAATGTAACCATTTGAAAGCCAGGAATTTTTTTTTCTGGTATTTCAAGAGGGTAGCTGCAGATAGGTTTGGTTTGAAATTTGTACTGTTTCTATCATTAATAAAGTATGGCTTCTTGTAAAAAAAAAAAGAAATAAAAGGAACACAAATAGGTAAAGAAACTGTCAAAAAAAAAAAAAAGCCTTTGATAAGATCCAACACCATTTCATGATAAAAGCTCTAAGAAAACTAGAAATAGAAGGAAAGTACCTCAACATTATAAAAGCTATATATGACAAGCCTACAGCCAGCATTATACTTAATGGAGAAAAACTGAAACAATTCCCTCTAAAATCAGGAACCAGACAAGGATGCCCACTGTCTCCACTCCTATTCAACATAGTACTGGATTTCCTAGCCAGAGCAATTAGGCAAGAAGAAGGAATAAAAGGAATACAAATAGGTAAAGAAACTGTCAAAATATCCCTATTTGCTGACGACATGATCCTATACCTTAAAGACCCAAAAAACTCTACTCAGAAGCTTCTAGACATCATCAATAGCTATAGCAAGGTAGCAGGATATAAAATCAACATAGAAAAATCATTAGCATTTCTATACACTAACAATGAGCAAACTGAAAAAGAATGTATGAAAACAATTCCATTTACAATAGCCTCAAAAAAAAATCAAATACCTAGGTGTAAACCTAACAAAAGATGTGAATGACCTCTACAAGGAAAGCTATAACTTCTGAAGAAAGAGATTGAGGAAGACTATAGAAAGTGGAGAGATCTCCCATGCTCATGGATTGGTAGAATCAACATAGTAAAAATGTCTATACTCCCAAAAGTAATCTACATGTTTAATGCAATTCCCATCAAAATCCCAATGACATTCATTAAAGAGATTGAAAAATCTACTGTTAAATTTATATGGAAACACAAGAGCCACGAATAGCCAAGGCAATACTCAGTCAAAAGAACAATGCAGGAGGTATCACAATACCTGACTTCAAACTATATTACAAAGCAATAACAATAAAAACAGCATGGTACTGGCACAAAAACAGACATGAAGACCAGTGGAACAGAATAGAGGATCCAGATATGAAGCCACACAACTATAACCAACTTGTCTTTGACAAAGGAGCTAAAAATATACGATGGAGAAAAAGCAGCCTCTTCAACAAAAACTGCTGGGAAAACTGGTTAGCAGTCTGCAAAAAACTGAAACTAGATCCATGTATATCACCCTATACCAAGATTAACTCAAAATGGATCAAGGATCTAAATATCAGACCACAAACTCTAAAGTTGATACAGGAAAGAGTAGGAAATACTCTGGAATTAACAGGTATAGGTAAGAACTTCCTCAATGGAACCCTAGAAGCACAGCAACTAAGAGATAGCATAGATAAATGGGACTTCATAAAACTAAAAAGCTTCTGCTCAATAAAGGAAATGTTCTCTAAACTGAAGAGACCACTGACAGAGTGGGAGAAAATATTTGCCAGCTACACATCAGACAAAGGACTGATAACCAGAATATATAGGGAACTCAAAAAACTAAATTCTCCCAAAATTAATGAACCAATAAAGAAATGGGCAAGTGAACTAAACAGAAATTTCTCAAATGGCCAAAAAACACATGAAAAAATGTTCACCATCTCTAGCAATAAAGGAAATGCAAATTAAAACCACACTAAGATTCCACCTCACCCCTGTTAGAATAGCCATCATCAGCAACACCACTAACAACAGGTGTTGGTGAGGGTGTGGGGAAAAAGGAACCCTCTTACACTGCTGGTAGGAACATAAACTAGTACAACTACTCTGGAATTTTTCATGTCCTGCATTATTTTATTTTTTCCAGTTGTTTTAGTTTTCTTAGAATTCATTCAGGCATTTATTCATGTTCTCTTTAATTTCATTCATCATTCTTATAATTATTTTTAAAAAATTCTTTGAGATTCTCTCCACTTCACTGTCACTAGTGTTTTTTGTGGAGTTGTTGAGTTTTGGGGAAGTCATATTGACTTATTTTTAATATATTTCTTGTGTTTCTGTGTTGGGATTTGTGCACCTAACAAAGAAGGTGACTATAAAAGGAGGTGAAATTATAAAACCTTGAGAAAAGACATTAAAGAAGACACTAGAATATGGACAGACCTTCCATGTTCATGGATCAGCAGAATTAATATTGTGAAAATGGTTGTACTACTAAAAGCAGTATATAGGTTCAATATAATCAACATCAGACTTCCAAGTTATTCTTCACAGAAATAGAAAAATCAATCCTAAAATTTATATGGAAGCACAAAAATTCTTGAATAGCCAAAGAAATCCTGAGCAAAAGATCAATACTGGAACTATCATAACTGACTTCAAATTATACTGCAGAGCCATAGTAATGAAAACAGCACTCACACAAAAACAGACACATAGATTGATGGAATAGAAGATCCAGAAATAAGCCCACAGAGCTATAGTCATCTGAGTTTTGACAAAGACATTAAAATATATGTTGGTGAAAAGACAGCCTTTTCAACAAATGATGTTAGAAAAATTGGATATCCACAATAGAAGATTGAAACTGACCCTTATGTTTCAGTACAAAAATCAATTCAAAATTCAATTGTACAAAAATCAATTCAAAATGGATCAAAGATTTAAATATATAGAAGAGACAAAAATGTAGGGACAACCCTTGAAGATAAAAGAATAGGTATTTCCTTTCTGAATAATACTCCAATTGGTTCAGGAAGAGCAAGAATTGACCAATGGGATTGTATCACATTAAAAAGCTTCTGCACGTCAAAAGAGATAATTACCTAAATGAAGAGACAACCTACAGAATGGGAAAAAAATCTTTGCCAGCTATTCATCAGATAAAGGACTAATACCCAAAGTATACAAAGAGCTAAAAAAACCTCAACACTAAAAGAAACAATCTAATTAATAATGGACAATAGAATTGAGAAGATAGTTCTCAAAATAAGCATAAATGAATGGACAATAAATACATGAAGAAATGTTCAACTTCCTTATCAATATAGGAAATGCAAATTAAAACTATATGAGGATTCCATTTTACTCCTGTCAGAGTGGCTATCATCAAGAAAACAAGCAACAAATGCCTGTAAGGCTTCAAGGGAAAAGGGACCCTTATACACTGTTGGTGGGAATGTAAACTAGTTCAGCTACTTTGGAAATCCCAATGGAGTTTCCTCAAAACAATAAAAAATGAAACTATCATATGATCCTGCTATAACACTCCTGGATAGACATCTGAAGGAATGTAAATCAGCATACAAATGAGATACTTGCACACCCATGCTTATAGCATCACTATTCATAGTAGCTGAATTATGGAATCAGCCTAGGTGCTCATCAGTAGATGAATGATAAAGAAAATGTGGCATCTATAGACACTGGAGTTTCATTCAACCATAAAGAAGAATGAAATTATGTAGCTTTCAGAGAAACGGATGAAACTGGACATAGTCATCTGAAGTGAAATCAGCCAGACTGAGAAAGACAAATATCACATATTCTGTCTCATATGTGGAATCAAGACTTAAAAAAAATAAGTGTAAAGCTGAGTGTGGTGGTTCACAGCTGTAATCCAAGCTAGTTGTAAAAGAGGGACTGTCTGGAGGTAGGAAGCAGTGTCAGAGTGACAGAAGAAGGCAAATATGATAGAAATACTTCATATAAACATAAGAAAATTAAAATGAAACCTGATGAAAATTGTCTCAAGAAGTGGGAAGGAGGATCAGAAAGGGTAATAGACAGGGTGAATTTGATAAAAGTACATTATATATATGTATGGAAGTATCACTACAAAACCCCTTTATACAATTAACATATACTGATGCCAAAAAGGATGGAGTCCTTTACAAAATGGAGTAGGTTAGGCTAATTTGAGTTGGGCCTTACACTCAGACTTTCCTTCCCTTTGCAACTCACACATTTCTCTCTGAAACGAGAAAAGGAGTGAGTGGGTGGGTAGATGACTGAGGAAGACGGACGAGAGGAAGGAAATTATGAATGCATTAGTGTAATTCCAAGAAGAGCACTGGGAAGAAGGCCTGTTGTGACCTGACCTATCCTCCCCTCCCATTATGGGGCACACTATGCCCAGCTCCAGTACTCGCAAGCATAGCCTAAGATACGTGTTCTGGAAGCAGTGCCTGTAAGAACCCAACACCAGGTGAGTAGGAACAGATGGTGATGGTGGTCCCCGTGGGCCCAGTCTTTCCCCTCATCCCATATCCCTCTCCTCCAAGCTTGGACCACACCTTGCTCATCATGGAAGTCTTTTTTCTTTCTTCCTTTTTTTGTTTTTTCTTTTTGGTGGGATTGGGGTTTGAACTGAAGGCATCACACTTGCAAAGCAGACACTCTACCACTTGAGCCATGCCTCCAGTCTATTTTGTTCCAGTTATTTTGGAGATAGGATCTTATGAAGTATTTGCACAGCCTGGCCTTGAGCTATGACAGGAAGAGACAGAATGATCAGGAAACTTGAGAGAAAAGTCAACTCTGAGAGTGAGGATGTGAAGTGGTGTGAGGCCAAAATAGACACAGCAAAAATAAATAAAATCATATACACGGCATCTTCCCAGTCAGTTTAAATGTAATAGGATGATGGAAAACAAGACTGTGTTTAATGGGAGTGTGGAGGAGGGAGGAGGGTTAAGAAAGTGTAATAGAGGGGAAATTTAATTAAAGTACGTTGCATATATGGATAGAAATATCACCATGAAACCACTTTATGTAATTAATTTATATTAATAAAAAGAAGATAAAACTGAACGTACTTCCATCATATAAAACAAATCTGTTCTCGGTGGATTTTGAAAGGACAAAATAGTATTATTCTATTATTCTCTGTGACAGAGAATACGTCTCAGATCATATAATGGGGAAAAAATTCTGGTTTTTTTTTCAGTGTTCAGAATTAACCCAGACATTCACACATGCTAAGAAGGTGCTGTGTCAGAGAGCTATATCCCCAACACAAGGGAATTGTTCTTTTTTCTTTTAATTTTTATTAGCATATTTTAATTAT